AACATATGTCTGAGAGATGTTCAGTACTAGATGACACATCTACACTTGAACCTCTACAGCTAAGGGTCATGGAACATGGTGGAACAAGGAGTGGAGCAGAGAGAAAACTAATGCATCTCTCAACTCTCACCAGTAAAGCTTCTTTATACAACAGAGTGTGATGCACACAGAAGGCCACAACTGGCCTTTAAAGAATAAGATACTGCAGAGTGTAGTATAGGACTCCTATATGGAACCTCATGCACCCATGGCTCAGGACCATTGCAGAAGAGGGGACTGGAAGATTGCAAGAGTCAGGGCTGGTTCATGAACATGGGGAAGCAGAAGCTTTCAGGCCACTGGATGCTTGCACATGTAAACTTGTAGCAATGGTGGCATCGAGCACAGAACCCAAAGGGGAAGAGAGAAATAGGTGGCCGGCCAGAACTAGACTGAGAACTATTGGAGATTGATTGCTGCTGGGTGAGGGAGAGTATGCGTATGCCTTACATAAGATCACTAGATGGGCTGAATAGACTCCAGTGGATGAATTTACAATGAAGGACATTTGGGTACAAACGCCTGAATGGATAGGACTTAACATGTATGGCAGAATACATGAAGTCTGGTGGGGGGGTAGGGAGGGTGTCCATGGGGGAAGGGGTCTAAATTTGATTAAGAACTATTATATGAAATCACAAAAGCTCAATAATATATATATATATATACATACACATACATATATATGTGGAAACAAACAGCTAGACCCTTGCCCTATCATCTTATGTCTTGTCGAGCAGTTGACAAGCCCTGCTTTAGGACTTAAAGGACTTTTTAGAGTGTCACTTTTACATATGGTTTAACTACAAAGATCACAACACAAAAAAAGCACAGACCCAATATTAACAGCCAATTTACCAAAAAAGACTCAGAGAGTCAAAGTCAGTACAGATTTTAGGCAGAGAAGCATTTTCTTTCTTTTTAAAGTTCTTCTCTCTCTCTCTCTCTCTCTCTCTCTCTCTCTCTCTCTCTCTCTCTCTCCAATATAGATTCTCCTATAAGTGCACATAAGGAAGCCAGAGGTGGACATTAGAGGTCTTTTTCTATCAACTTCACCTTATACATTTTAAACAGTCTCTCACTGAACCCAGAGCTCCCCATTTTGGCTAAACTACCTGGCCAGTGGGTCCCCAGTATAAGCACATTTCTCCACCCCACCCCTGTGCTGGCTTTTTACAGGGTAATGAGAATCTGAATTCAGGTCCCCCTGCTTGTGAACAACCACTTACACTGAGTCATCTCTCCAGGTCCAGTAGGAAGCATTTTAAACTCCAGAATTTATGACTTTGGAGATAAAAGAAGATGCATAAGAGAAAAAAAAAACCATGATGCTATAAAAAGAACAGAATTAAAAAGAACACATAAAACAGAAGTATAGGGGACTGGAGAGATAGCTCAGCAGTTAAGAACACTGACTGTTCTTGCAGAAGACCTGGGTTCATATGCCAGCACCCACATAGCAGCTAACAATTGTCCGTAACTCCAGTTCCAGGGGATCTGCCTTTTCTGTCCTCATGGGCATTGCACAACATGGGTGTACTTACCTACATGTAGGCAATAATGCATACACATAAAATAAAAATAATAAATAAAATATTTAAAAAACAGAAGTATAATAAAAAATTATTTGATGACAGAATTTATGAATTCCATCAGAGGGCTATGGGAAGGGGGTCAATGGAAAGACGATTAAGATGTTCTGTATGAAATACACAAAAATTCAATAAAAATTTTTTTAAAAAGCTGTTTGATAAATTTATCTAAGATGAAGAGGTCCCAGTTGGGAACTCAGTGGTAGACAGCTTGCTTAGCATGCATGAGGCCCCTAGGTTCAGTCCCTAGCACCCCCAGGACCAACAACCAACAACGACAACAACAAAAGGTGACTTACACAGGAAGCAGAACAAAAAAATGGAGAGCAAAATAGGACTGGGACAGATAAGGTAAAAAACAAATACATATAACTAATTTCTTAAAAAGAAGCGATTCAGTAAGGGGAGTTAGAGGAAATTATCAAGTAAATTATATCAGAAAAAGTCCTAGAACTGAAGAATATGTGTTTTAAAAGTGCATAGTGTCAATGAAGTTGAATAAAAATGAGAAGACATAATCAAAACACATAATTATTCTTAGAACACTGGGAATTATAAGGAGATCTCAAAACTGTTTGAGACAAAAGAAAACAGACAAGAAGCAGGTTACATATAAAGAAATTAGTCACCTATAAAAGAAAATAAACCATAGTATTTAATGTTCCTCAACAATATTAAGAACTAGGGACTGGAGAGATGGCTCAGTGGTTAAGAGCACTGGCTGCTCCTGCAGAGGACCCAGGTTCAATTCCAAACACCTACATGGCAGCTAACAACTGTCCATGATTCCAGTTCAAGGAGAATCTGACACCCTCTTCTGATCTCCTTGGGCATTGCAAGACATGGGTGCACTTACATACATGCAGGCAATACACTCATACACATAAAAATAAATTTTAAAAAATTTAAGAAAACAATATTGAGAACTAAAATACTGTGAAGCAAGCCATTTAATATTCTGAGTGAAATTATATTGGACCTAGAGTTCATTGCTTAAACAGCATATCACTAGCAACAAGAGATGCAACCCAATGCTGCTATCTATGCTGCCCGAGGACTTTCTCCTAGAGACCTCTACTCAGCTGCAGTTGGGATTTTGACAATATTGCAGAAAAGAATTTCAGGACAAGTCAATATGAAGCAAAGCTGGAGCTTATTAAGAAAAATAAGTGAGCAGGGCCTGGTGGTGCCCGCCTTTAATCCCAGCACTTGGGAGGCAGAGGCAGGCGGATCTCTGTGAGATGGAGGCCAGCCTCTCTACATAGTGAGTTCCAGGACAGCTGGGGCTACAAGGAGACCCTGTCTCAAAAAAGACAAAATAAGAATTAAATCTTGGAGATTTGGCTCAGCAAAATCTGGAGAGATGGCTCAGATGGTTAGGAACGCTGTTCTTGCAGAAGACCCAGGTTCGATTCCCAGCACCCACATGGCAACTAACAACTGTCTGTAATTCCAGTTCCAGGGGATCTGACAGCCTCTTCTGTCCTCTGCAGGCATTGCACGACATGGGTGCACTTACATACATGCAGGCATAATATTCACACACATAAAATAAAAATAGTAAAATATTTTTTTAAAAAAAGAAAAAGAAAATTAAGTGCTTGAGGGTAGATGCTTAAGAAAAGCACTTTAAATCTCTTGAAATTACATTGTTTTCAAAGGATGTAATTTACAACCAGGCTCAAAGATTAAAAATTTTAAATTAAGTTGAAAAGGGAGCTGATTTATTAATTTAAAAACTTTTTTTTTAAATTTTATGAGTGTATTGCCCGCATGTGTGTAAGTGCATCTGTGTCATGCAGTGCCCAGGGAGGTCAAAAGAGGGCTTCAGATTGCTTGGAACTGGAGTTCTGGGCAGTTAGTAGCTGCCATGTGGGTATTGGGAATCAAATCCAGGTCTTCTACAAGTGTATCCAGTGCTCTTAATTACTGAGCAATCTCTCTAGCATGATTTACTTAATTTTTTAGGGGATTTCATCTTGTAAATTCTAAGAGCTTCACTGTTTGGATTTATGGATGAGAGAGGCATGCTCATAAGGTGAATATCAAAGGTCCCATGGGCCTAACATTCTGACCTTAAGCCTGGTGTATTAGCCATATTAATACTTATTTCATATAGTTCCCAGGAAAAGGAGCATACTCTGCACAGGAAGTCTTTTCAAGTTTTGTTAGTTGTGTGGAAATTCTTTCAGCTGGTGAGAAATGCACACCGGATGGGAGGAGGGGGTGGGACAGTGAAGAAACTGTGTTCTCTCTGGTTCCTTGGATATTCCCTATCTTTCAACCCTGCCTCAGTTACAGACATGGAAGATTTAAGCCGTGATGTACCTGGTTTGCAGTGCTCCTCAAAAAAATAATGATAATAAGGACTGGAGAGATGGTTCAGTGGTTAAGGGCCTGTACTGCTGTTGCAGGGAACCCAAGTTCTGTTCCTAGCTCCCATGTCCAGTTGCTCACAAGCGCCTGTAACTCCAGCTCCAGGGGATCTGACACCCTCCTCTGGCCTCTGCCAACTGCACTCACATGCATAAACACACAAGTAGATATACACATATACACACAATTAAAAATAAACTCTTTTAAAAATTGAAGATCAGGCCATGAAATGAGAGTAGAGTATACAAATCAAGAAAAAGGAACTAGAGACTCCACGTGGAGAAATGGGGAGGACATTGCCAGGACAGCAGTAGAGCTGTTATCTTCCAGACCTTGAAGTTTGTAGGAATCACTGGGGGATCTTACTTAAATGCAGATTCTGATTTCAAACTCTGTGTACAGCCTGAGATTGTGCCTTTTTAACTACCTCCTGACGGATGTCGCAGTTGCTAGTGGTAGTTCAAGGCCTACATTTTGTATAGGCTGGGTATGGAGAACAAATGCATGAGAGAGGAGAGAGGAAGAAATAGGAAGAGAGAGAGGAAGGGAGGGAAGGAGAGGGAGACAAAGGAGATTGATTTGCTTCTGAGAGATAACCAGAGATGGCTTAATGCTAGACAAGAATCGTGCAGTAGGGGAGTGGGACGAAGGAGAACAAATTAAATTTTTAATGAATATAAATGAAGAAAACATTTAGAGGCTGAATGAAGTGAAGCAGTGTCATCCATCCAACTTTGGCAGCAGGAAGCACCTGAGGAGGAAATTTGTACCTCTCTAAGGGCCCCAAGCTGGGCAATCTGGGGGTCTCTGGAACACCCTGTGCAGGTTCTGGGGCAGACAGTATCTCACAGCCCAGGCACACCCTGGGGAGGTGGGCGGGGCCTCGGCGGCGCCACGGAGGCGGGGCCTCGGCGGAGCCTTGTTAGGTTTCCGGCAGCCGGGGCCTGGGCGGAGCCTGGTCCCTAAATAGGCGGGCTGGGGCGGTGCCACTATTCCGATTGGTGGCTTTTGAACTCGGAAGCAGTCGTGGGCGCTGGGAAGAGGCGGGAACGCTGATCTCTGCGGACGCTGCGGCTGCGGGATGGTCGGCGGCGGGAAGCGCGCGCACGGCGGGGCGCCGCAGGTAGGCGAGGGGATGCTCTGCGGCTTCTACGGGTGCTTTGGGCGATGGCCAGGGCATCCCGCAGCACTGGGCATTCCCTGCAACCCCGGAGCGCCCTCGGGGCGCCAGGAACGGGGCCGCCCCCGGCTGCAGGGCCAGCCTTTGCCCGGCTTCTCCAGGCTCAGCTCCCGGGGAAGCAGATGAAGCCAGCCAGCCTCCCTGATAGGAAAACAAGCCGTGCCAGGCTCTGCGGGGCCGCCGCGGGTTGCAGGGGAGCCGGCAGACGTCGGCTGTTTGTGCGGCGACATCAGCGAATATACATTTACCCTTAACTTTTTGGCTTAGGTTATAACGCTGGTGTGCACAAAGTGCTGGATTCAAGTCCTGGAATGGGAGGATGGTAAAGACTTTTAAGGCAACTCACCTTTGGAAATAGTTCTTGATGGCAGAGAAGAAAAACAAGAGACCCCTTAACACAAAGGTGAAAGGAGTGATGATGGGTCAGTCTGGAAGTCAGGGAGATAGGAAAGTTAAGAGGGACCTCATCCATTCCCAACCTTCTGACCGGTTCCATGGATCCGGTAAGTGCTGTGGTGGCCAGTAGAGGAGTTAAACAGGAAAGTCATTGTGACAACTCAAGTTGAATAAAAATTACTGTAGCTGAGCAGCATGAGATGCCTATTGTTGGGTTACTTGTCAGAGAACTGTGCTTATAGGCATTTTTCACGTTGAATTATGCTTTCTTGCAACACCACGTTAAAAATGTAGTCTCTAAAAGGAGCAGAGCCGGAAAAATGTCTTTGAACAAAGGCACACCAAACTGTTTTGGCAGAGTGATAGGTTTAATCAGAAATAAAATAGAGATGTGGCTGGAGAGCTGGCTCAGCACTGACTGCTCTTGCAGAGGACCTGGGTTCGATTCCCACATGGCAACTAACAACTGGCCATAACTCCACTACACAAGTGCACTTACATACGTGCAGACCATACCATCATACACAGAAAACAAAAATAATAAAATATTTTTAAAAGAAATAAAAGATGATCCAGTAGAGTGCTTATAACTAACAATAATGGCCAGCATTGATATATTATCTGCTAAGACTGTTTTATTTTGAAAGTCCAACCTACCCCAGGGATGGTCTCATCCACAGTGGGACAGGCCCTTCTATTAGCAATTAGCAATCAAGAAAATGCTCCACAGACTTGCCCACATGCCAGCTTGTTGAAGGAAGTTCCTTAATTGATCTTCCCTCTTCCCAGGTATGTCTAGCTTTGTGTCAAGTTGACAAAAATTAATGAGGATGCTTGGAGAAACATGTTGAAAAATTTGCTGTATGTGGGTAGCTCTTGAGGACAATGTAAACTGTTTCTAGTTGTACAAAAGAAACACAAGAATTTTACTCATAAATGCAATTAGAGTGTTTTTTTAAAAAACATACAGAAACTGGAGAGAGAGCTCAGCAGTTAAGAGCAAATACTCTTCTTACCAAGGATCCAAGTTCAGTTCCCAACACCCACATCAGGCAACTCACAACCCCCTGTGACTCCAGCTCCAAGGGATGCAATGCCTTCTGGCCTCTGTGGGTATCCACAGTGTGCATACCTACACACAGACACACATAATTAAGTCTTTCAAAATGTAGCTCACAGAAACTGATGAACAACAGTAAGCAAGAAGGAGAATTGTTGAAGTGCCTTTTGGAACTAACATTCTCTGTGCCAACTTTCAGTATGAGAAGACCGAGGATGTGAAGAAGAGTAAATCCTGTGAAGCAGACATCTCCAGTGACCTTCGAAAAGAAGTAGAAACTCTTTATAAGCTTTCCCTACCTGAAGATTTCTATCACTTCTGGAAGTTCTGTGAAGAACTTGATCCTGAAAAGCCAGCTGGTGAGTTACTCCAGCGTCAGTCTGCTCCTGTGACTGGAAAAGGTGACAGGAAACTGGACTAAGGATACAAACATCACATTGAGAAAGGGTATTTTGAGCCAGGCATGGTTATGCTTGACCAGAATCTCAGAAATTAGGAGGATAGTTCAAGAATATCACAAGTTTGAGGGCAGCCTGGGCTACCTATCAAGTCTGTCTCAAACAATTTTTGAAAAGGAGCATTTGCACAGTTGTTTCTAATGAGGGAAGTGCAGTAAGAGAAATGTAAGTTGTTATACTAATCAGCTTTTCATTGCTATGACAAAATACCTGAGAAAATGGCCTAAAAAGAAGGTAGGGTTATTTTGAGTAGTGGTCTTAGAGGTTTCAAGTCCGTAATCAGTGACACCATTGTTTTTTGGCTGAAGTATGTTTCAGAGCAAACCTGCTGTGACAAAATACCTGAGAAAATGGCCTAAAAAGAAGGTAGGTTTCAAGTCCGTGATCAGTGACACCATTGTTTTTTGGCTGAAGTATGTTTCAGAGCAAACCTGCTTACCTTATGGCAGACAGGACTTAGTGAGGGTGAGCAGGAAGTGTCCTAGGACACCATAAACCCTTCCAATGTATCCCCATTGACCCACTTCCTTTAGCTAGACCTCACCTCCTGCTGTCCAATCAGACCATCACTTCTCCATAACGTCAACAGCTGGAAATATGCCCTTCAACACATGAGCCTTTTTGGTGGAAACCAGATCGAAACCACAATGCTATAATAATATTCTATTGTCATCTGATGACAAAGGCAAGCAGTTTCATGACATTCTATAAGTGTGAAGAAAAATAAGTAGTTACATATGTTGCAGAAGTGTTAATCCAACTTAGCCATTTTATATGTGGACTTCTCTTATGGACTAAGTGAACTAAGAATTCTGTTCAAGCTGGGTGTGATGGCACGCGCCTTTGATTCCAGTACTCGGATGGAACAGACAGGTGGATAGGTGGATCTATGTGAGCTCCAGGCTAGCCAGGGCTACATAGTGTGATCCTATCTTTAAAAAAAAAAAAAAAAAAACATGTGTTCAAGGGTTTTTTTTGCCAATGTATATTTTTATTGAATTTTTATGGATTTCATACAAAACATTTTAATTATATTTAGACCTCCCCTATCTGTACCCCCCATGCCCCCACACACAGGATTTCATACATTTTTGCCCTCTATATTAAAGCCTATTGAGTCAAGTTTGTGTGCCCAGCTGTATCTTGGTGTGAGTTCATCCACTGGAACCTGTTCAGCCTATCTAGTGCCACTCTTTTTTTTCAGTCTTCTTTTTTTTTTTTTTGGTGTTTTTGAGACAGGGTCTTCCTGTAGCCCCAGGTGTCCTGGAACTCACTATGTAGACCAGGCTGTCCTTCAACTCACAGAGATCCACCTGCCTCTGCCTCCCTAGCGCTGGGATTAAAGATGTGCACCACCATGTCCAGCCTAGTGCCACACTTTTAAAGAAGATCAACTCTCCCTCATCCAGCAGTGATCAGCTGCCAATAGTTCCTCGGCTAACATTGGGGCCTCCTACCCATTACCCCAGTTCTATGCTAGTTTTTATTTAATTGAGTTTGTGTGGTTTATTTATTTATTTATTTTGAGAATTTCCTACATGGGTATTGTCTTCGCATTATGTCCATCCCTCCCAGTCTCCTACCAGCTCCTCCCATGTCCCCCAACTCCCTCTCAATTTTTTATCCTCTTTATTATTGTTACATATACATACATATGTTTATAAATACACATACACACGTACATATATATTTATATAATGCACTGGGTCCATTTAGTGGTTCTTGTGTGTACCTGTGCTTAGGGCTGCCCACTTGGGGTTAAAATTAAATAACCTCTCAGGGAGCTAGTCCCTGGAGAAAACTAATTCTTCCTCCTGTGGCAACAATGATATTTTGAAACAAAAGAGAAATGGTTGAAATGCATTTTAGTAACACATGTACTCAGCCAATACATGTGACTTTATAAGAATTAAGGCAGATTTTTAGGAAATGAAGTAGCATGCATGAAGTATTTTAAGTGAAAAAGGAAAAATGTATATAATTTATACTGCCATCAACAGCTCTTAAATATGCCAGGCCTGCACCCGCTTATCCCATATGCTATCCTATGCAGGAGGGACTGATAATGGGTTGTGGTGGAGCAACTTTTTACTGTAAGCGCTTTTGTACAGTCAAACAGCTCAGAACTGCCTATAATTCCAGCTCTAGGAGATCCAATGCCTCTGCCCTCTGAGGGCACCTGCACTTCCATGAGCACACACACATGCACACATACACACCATTAAAAATAAAAATAATACTTGGGAGGCAGAGGCAGGTGAATCTCTAAGCATTCAAGGCCAGTCTAGCCTACATAGTGAGTTCCAGGCCAGCTGGGGCTGCAGGGAGACCCTGTCTCAAAAAGACCAAAAAGGAAAAATAAATAATAATAAATCTTAAATAAATAGGGAACTCATGGAAAATAAATACTGTATATCAGGCTACTAACAATGTTATCTCTAGTAAGTGAGATGGGTGGTTTTGGTTTTCTTGTTGCTTTAAAAGTAAAGGTACACCACCTTTCACTCAGCTAAGCTGAGCTACCTGCCCTACCACCCCTTAAAAACAAAACAGTAAAAACAATCTCCATGCAGTTATTCACACTATTACCTCTTTCAAGAATTTTCTTGAAAAAAAAGTTCGTTTTCCTCTATCCCTCCTTAAACAACTGAGTCCTGTCTGGAGTGCTTACCTCCCTCTTAGAAAAGCAGCAAGCACTCCGAAGTTGTAAGTTGTACATTTGCACAGACTTCATAATATTGTGATTTGTGTGTGTGTGTGTGTGTGTAAGAGAGAGAGAGAGAGAGAGAGACTCACTATGTAGTGCTGGTACACACTATGTGGACTAGGCTGGCATCAGCTCACAGAGATCTGCCTGCCTCTGCCTCCTGAGTGCTGGGATAAAGGTGTGCACCCCCAGGCCTGGCAGACATTGTGATTTATGTGGTACTCAGTCTCTGTAATTTATGAATGGAAAAAAAAGCATGGAAGTAATTGAGGCTTTGCAGATTATCAGAAGTATCTGGAGTGACAGCTAAAGAAAGAAAATGTTTTTTTCCCTACCCTTAATCCATGCTTTTTTGCTATCTCTATTACCTCCACCTTAATACCTATATTTGAAGCTAACAGCATTAGCACTGAGGCAAGGTGTGTGTGGCTGCCAGACACCAGCAGAGAAATTGTGCAGCTTAGCTTTGCCTAAATAAGGGAAAGCAGGTACATTTGAAATGTTAGGCTAATTCAGTAGTAAATTTAAGAGGAAATCCTAAATTTAATGCCACATTTCTGTTAACCTGATTTATTTTCTATTGAGTGTTTATAACAACTTCACACATGACTGAAAACCATTTTTTTAAAGCTTTAAAAGTATTTTTTAAGACAACTTCTTAAGAATCATTTAGCAGTGAAAGGCATTATTTCCTATTTGCCTGAGTAAACTTATTTTCCTTATAGATGCACTTGCCACAAGTCTTGGACTTCGATTAGTGGGTCCTTATGATATCCTTGCTGGGAAACATAAAATGAAGAAAAGATCCACAGGCTTGAATTGTAATCTTCACTGGAGGTTTTACTATGATCCTCCTGAGTTCCAGACCATTATTATTGGAGATAATAAAACTCAGTACCACATGGGGTATTTCAGGTAAAGGATCTTCTCTTCTCTAAAATACAGCTACCCTCTTATTAATGACCTTTGCTGGCATCAGGGAAGGTGAATGGCCTATTTTCCCCTTACTGGTGGCTCCGTGGTCCATCTGTTCTGGCTACTGTTGACCATTTTAGCTTACTTAGGATGGTGAGTTGAACTTCCCTGATTTTTTTTCCCTTCTGATATTACAAAATGTTTTCCCTTTCGGATTCAGAAGAGCTCCTTTCCAGGCCCCCAAAAGATAATTTAGAGCAGCTGTTTTGACTTAAACCATGTGCCTCTAGGAGCCAGAGGACCTGAGTAAGCCCTGGAGTCATAAAGATTGGTCCTGCTATGTGGCATCTTGGTGACTATAAGCCAGTGAGTGGTGACTGTGATATTTCTGTGACTCAGTTTCCTCTCTTGAAATAATGGGGATAACAGTACATACTTGATAGGAATGTTAGGACTATTACGAGGATTAAATGAATGCATATGGATCATTAGGATGCTAGCAAATAGAAGTTATGTGAAGAGGGAAAGATCTTGTCCATTTGTGCCAATGTGGATGCTATAGGCTAGAGATGCAGTGTGAGAGAAGAAATGATGCAATGTGGGTAGAGAAGAACACACCTGGAGCTGGGGCTTGGGTCAGATGGATTGTTTCTGACTTCATCATTGACTGTTAGTACCTTGGCCAAGTATCTTAACCTCTCTATCATTGACTTCATCATTGACTGTTAGTACCTGACTTCATCATTGACTGTTAGTACCTTGGCCAAGTATCTTAACCTCTCTACTGTTTTCCACAATTTTAAAATAAAAGGTTTGGGTATATACATGAATGATTCTGTGATAGTCATGATCCTCTGTCCCTGCTGCTTTTTTTTGCTTTTCCTACATTTTTCTTGCTTTCTTTTCCCTTACTAGACTCTAGAATGAAAATGATGGGTGCTTGTGTGTGATATTCCCTACTTCTCTTGATAGACCTTATTCTTCCTTTCTTTGTATTTGAATATAAAAGTAACTAGTTTTTCTCAGAACCTTAATTTGAGGTTCTGTTGTATAAATTAGTTATAGATGTTCTGAAGAAACTTGGAGCCTAAACTGAGCAGATTTATCTTATTTCTTTACAGGTACATACGGTCTATTGACTTAATTTTCTGCTTGCTTGATATTATAAATTATGGGCTGCTAAGTTTTTAATATTTTTTGTTAAAACAGAGACTCTCCTGATGAACTTCCCGTATACGTGGGTACAAATGAAGCAAAGAAAAATTGTGTAATTATTCAGAATGGCGATAATGTGTTTGCTGCCATCAAGTAAGAAACCATTTAAATTCTCCTATTTATAATTATTTATTTACATGTCTATAACCAATTAAAAAATGGAGTTCAGTGTAGATTTCTAGAGATCATCTCCATGACTTTTGAAGATAGCCTTGTTCATAGTTATTTTGCTGCTCTTCACCAAGAACTAACATATAAATGTTTATTTAATGAACATATTGTTGAATCGTGGGCTGGGCTTAGTGGTAGAGCACATGTGCTTAGCATGTCCAAAGCCCTGGGCTTAATCCTCTGCACTGCAAAAAGTGTATGTTTGCGTATATTGTGCTTAATCTTAACCTCAGCCATCTCATGGCAAAATCAGAGGGTTTTTCCCTTGGATATCTGATTATAAAGTGTCATTAAGAATTCATTGTAATGAACTGGAGAGCAGTTAAGAACACAGCTGCTCTTGCAAAGGACCTGGGTTCAATTTCTAGCACCGACATGGCAGCTAACCACCATCTGTAACTCCAGTTCCAGGGGACCCAGTGCCCTCTTCTGACCTTGGTGGCTTTGTGGGACCTGGGTGCATTTATATACATGCAGGCAATACATTGAGACACATAAAATAAAAATAAGAAAATATAGTAAGAATTCATGGGGCTGGTTAAGAGCACTGACTGTTCTTACAGAAGGCCTGAGTTTGAATCCCAGCACCCATGTGGTGGCTAACAACTATCCTTACTTAATTCCAGTTCCAGAGGATCCGATGACCTCTTCTGTCCTCCTTGGGCACTGCATGACATGGGTGCACTTATATACATGCAGGCATAACACACACATAAAAAATTAAAAAAGAAAGAATTTCATTGTAAGAACCCATTGCAAGAGCTGGAGGGACGAGATAACATGGCTCCCTGAATGTATTGAGTCAAGTATTCTGGCACATGCCTTTAATCCCATAATTCCAGTATTTTCAAGTGAGAGGCAGGAAGGTCTCTTGAGAGTTCTAGGCCACCTTATGCTACGCAGTGAGACTTTGTCTTAAAGATGAAACAAGAGAGAACATGTACTGCTCCCGTATAGGACAAGAGTTCTGTTCCTAGCACCCATGTTAGGCAGCTCACAACCACTTGTAACTAGTTCTAGGGTGTCTGACACCCACTCCTGGATTCCACTGGCATTGCACTCATGTGTACAAACCCACACACAGACATTCACATATATCCATATTTTTTATTTTTTTGTAGTTTCACCATTTTACCTTCCCACCAGCAGTGCATGAGGGTCTCAGTTTCTCCACATCCTTACAAATAAGAATTGCTTTAAAATATATTTTAAGGCCAGATGTGGTGGTGCATGAATCCAGCATTCAGGAGGCAGAGGCAGACGGATCTCTGTGAGATTGAGGCCAACCTGATCTACATAGTGAGTTCCAGACCAGCTGGAGCTGCAGGGAGACCCTGTAATTTCAATACTCAGGAGATGAAGATGAGCTACACAGGGAGCTCCAGGCCAGCCTAGGTTATGTGAGACTCTGTCTGAGGCTCAGTGGTACAGCGATTGCTAGCATATGAGTCTCTTCAGAGCATCAGAATCCCTAGCTCTGGCCCAGAGTTAACTTTGAATCAACACAGATTTCCTTGGTTGGCAGCCCCACAGTCTTTCCCTGCTGCCAAACCCATGGCTTGGTTGTTGTTGTTACTTATGTTTTTATTTTTGATTACTGGGGATTAAACCTTGGGCATAGTAGGCAAGGACTCCACTGCTCAGTTGTATCCCAAACCTGATACCATTGTTTGAAACCTTTAAGATTTATTCCTTAAATTTGTGTCTTTGTTAGAAATTATAGTTGTTTATTGGCTTATTATCTGTCTTTTGCATGGTACTGCTCTGCTCCTTAGATGCTCCATAAATCATGAGTTCATTTTATAACACCTTGACATATAAAAATACTAATTTGCTTTTTCAGTGCTAGGGACTGACCAGGGCCTTGCACTTGCTAGACAAGGACTCTTATCACTGAACTAAATTCCTAACCCCCCAAATACCTAACTTTTAATTTGTAGTTTTAGTCTTACCTCTCTTAGTAGAAATCTGCTTAAAAAAAAGCTAACCTAGTGGGATTTGTTGTTGGTTTTTTCCTCTAAATCTAAGTTGTTCTGGTTTTGTTTCATTTAGTTTATAGGAAAGGGGGAGGGCACTAGGTGATATTTATAATTCAGGGCCAGACTGTGAATATTTGAAGAATTACTTCCAGTAGCTTATTTCAAATGGGTATAACAGTATTTTTTTTCACCTAATTTTTTCTTTTTAATTAAAACTAGCTGACTAAATTTACATACATATGAGCCTTACTCATTTTAAGCTAAAAAACAAACAAACAAAAAATTAGGCTAAATTCCTTAAAGAATCAACTCCTGAAGCCTGGATTTAGTGCATGCCTTAATCCCAGTACTTGATAAGCAGAGGCAAACAGATCTCTGAGATCAAGGCCAGCCTGGTTTACATAGTGAGTTCCAGGCCAGCTGGAGCTACAGGAAGACACTGTCTCAAAAAAATGAAAAGAGTCAATTCCCTTTCTATCTGCATACATCCTTTAAATATAAGTTAATAAACATTCATGGAGAAATAATAGTTTGTACTTACTGAAATAAATACTAAGGGATTTTTTTGACTCTTAATCTTTTACAATACAGTACATTTTATACAAATTTAGATCCCCTCCCCTATCTGCAACCCTCCCTTACTGTCCCCACCCCAATTTTGTGTACTCTTATATATATATACTAAGGCCTGTAGAGTCACATTTATGTCCCCAAATGCCCTTTGGTATGCGTTCATCCACTGAAGTCCAGTTAACCTACCAAGAGCCTCACACTTAACTGAGACTGCCTCCCCCCAGCAGCCATTGGTTGCCAGTACTTCCTCAGGTAGGGTGGGGGTCTCTTACCCACTTCCCCACATCTGTGCTGGGATTTTGTCTGACTTGAGCTTAGGAGCGACTTGTGCATGCTGGCATCATTGCTGTGAGTTTTTATGAGTATCTGAGCAGCTGTCTGGGAAACTGTTTCCTTGTGGTCATCCACTACCTCTAATAATCACATTTGTAGAAATCTCAAATTCCTTTTCATAGTTAGAAGTGGAATTGATGATTCAAGGACATTAATGTATACTTGGCACAGAACCTGCCAATGTTAATTACCAATTAAAAAATCTTGGAATACGAGATTTCTGCAAATGTTTATTATAAGTTAGGTATTTAAAAACTTAGAAACAATATGCCTAGCAATAAGGAGGGTTAGGTAAGTATATAAAATGCTTGTGTATTATAATGCCACGCTTCTGACTTGTAAAGAACAAGTAACAGAGCAGAATGATTTGGCTGGGTGTGGTGGCCCACACCTTTAGTCCCAGCACTTGGGAGGCAGAGGCAGGTGGATCTCTGAGTTCAAGGCCCGCCTGGTCTACATAGTGAGTTTTAGGTCAGCTGGGGCTACAGGGAGACCCTGTCTCAAAACAAACAAACAGAAAAAAAAAAAAAAAGAATGAGAAAAGAATGATTCTACTTCTTCCTGTCTAATTCATGGGGAAAATCTGCACTCAAAACTTAGATTCTTTAGACAACAAAGTTAGGAGTGGCTTTTTCTTTCTTCATGTTTTCTCTCTCGGACTTCTGCAAGGCAGGGCCTTTAGGTCCCCACATAATGGAACAAAGTGTTCTTGGCAAGGGAGCAGGGCATGTGTGAATGTATGTAAATGAGGAGCACAGAGTACTTGGAAGGTCTCCTAGCCAGTGTGAGAGACTTGACAATTGAGTCACATTTAACAGGATCGGATTGGCATTTTGTGGTTAATACATCCTCTTGGTGTATCGCTGATGATGCAGTAAGGTATTGATTTTAGTGGTTTGGGTCTCCATAGGACTGTAACCCATCCTTACTAGCTCTCTGAACTTAGGTTGGTTATCCTTTGAGCCTCAGTTTCCTAATCTGTAAAGAGGGCCTCACTGTAAATGCTCTGAGCCCTTTTCAGGACTTGGCCCATGGCAGCGGTCTAGTGAGGACTACAAATCCCCATGTGGGTAGCAAATAGAAGTGAATTTATTCCAGGGGTCTGGTGCCAGGGCTAGTTTTTAACCACTGAGCCATTTCTGCAGCCCAGGGCTGTTTTTTTGTTGTTTTTTTTTAAAGTTTTAAATCCTTTTTGGTGAAAACACACTATTTTTTCCTCTTGAGCTAGATTTCTCCAAAGCAGTATGCTGTATCTTAATATTCCAGCAGTACAACTCAAACCTGAGCTTGGCTTTTTTAATACCATTTCCTCTAATGTCTATAATACAGATACATAATAATACAAAGGATTCATACTTGCTTTATCTGTGACTGGCGTTTTTATTGGTACTGCTTATTTCTTGTTTGAAACCTGTGAGGACTTTGAGAGCAGCATTGCATGAAATTTGACAGTTTAATCTCTGCTCCTTACGTTCTGTGTACAGAGTAAGAGGCCAGCAATCTAACAGGGGTTTTCACTTCTTTTCTAGATTATTTTTGATGAAAAAACTTAAAGAAGTAACAGATAAAAAGAAAACTAGCATTTTGAAAAACATAGATGAAAACCTCACAGAAACGGCCAGAAAACTAGGATACTCACTGGAACAGAGAACCATGAAGATGAAACAGAGAGACAAGAAAGTACGCTTTCCACCGCTTTTGACTACTTTGCTCCGGTGGTGGTGGGGGGGTTGCACTTGCTCCTTCCTGCCTGCACCTGATCTTTTTCTCTAACCCAATTGCAAAGAGAGCTAGATGCTGTCTCTCGTTTCTGTGTTCTTCGGGGTCTCCAGGGCCTCAGCTACCCAAAGACTAGTACTGGAGAAGGGATCAGGTGACCCCTGCAGATTGGTAGGCAGGCTGAGTCTTGTAACTGGAGAGAGTGCTCTCGTGGTTACGGAACTCATTCTAGTATTTATGAGTCTTTTAATCGTGTTGTATTGGCCATTTCTTAAAGGTAAATAGAAACAGCTTTGCACATAATATTTTATTTTCTGATGGCTCAGGTTCTTGGTATTTGGGGTGGGAGGACAGTTCTCTGCTCTTAATCACTGGCTGTTCTTACAGAGAACTTGGATTCAGTTCCCACACCCACTTGATGGCTAGCCACTTTCTATAACTACAGTTCCAGGGGTATCTGATACCCTTTTCTAGCCTCTGTGTGCAGCGTACACACAGTTGAACTTATATACATGCAGGCAAAACACTCACACACATACAAATAAAAAGTAGCTAATAACAAATACAAAGAAAAGCATAAGAAAACCTTGATTTTCTCCTTCCCTGTTGATAACTATGTTGTCAGATCCATTTTCATTATATGTGTAGTGCTTAAAATGTTATTGAGAAATTTAATTCATACTTTTTCTATTCCTAAAAAGTTTAATCCCACTAGTATGTTAGTGACTTTGGTCCATGAGCATGTTAGGATACTGTCTCCATTTTAGTATGATAGAGTGTTACAGAGTGCACTGGAAGTCAGTTTTCATATAGATAACACCTTGTAGAACTTTGGAATGCAAAGTATGTGAGTCTCTTCACTGAACCCTGCAAGAAATCTGCAGAGTTGGAAGAAAGTTCACGTTTCCACTAGTACTTTCTTGGTTTCATGTTTACATTAAAGCCTGAAATCCGAGGATAAATTATTCTGGTGTCAAGATAAGATATGAGGCTCTGTCTTCATTTGCTCCTTCTAAATAGCAACCAATGTCTGCAGCTTTCTTAACCAATCTGCCTTTGTAGTAGTGTAGCCAGATAGTGAGAGAAGCGGAGATGGCAAGTGGGAGAGCGAGCGAAATAACTCCAAAGATAGCAGGGGCTTAGGCTTTACAAGGAGATCTTGTTTGGGGCCTGTATTTTTCTTCTGTCTTGGAAGCTTTCATTGCACTACACAACTGGAATACTGAAGATATTTTATTAAGACCAAGGCCAGGTATGTTGGTACACACCTGTAATCATAGCACTCAGGAGGTTGAGGCGGGAGGATTGAGAGTTCAAGCCACCTGGGCTACATAATAAGACCGTGCTTCAAAGAAAAAAAGATCTAAAACTAATGCTGCAAATGTGAATTAAAGGAAGAATGTTGACTGAAGGTTTATGATGATGGACTCCTGTAGCTGGGCCCATAATCTTTGACGATTACTATTTACAAGTGATTCACGTGCTTTGTCTATAAAGGGTACCACTAACTAGAACTACCCTGCTTTTGAGGAGTTTGTAAATTAGCCTAAATTTTCCAAGTAAAAATGGGGTCTGAATATTTGGTAAAAATAGATGAATTCTCCCATCTTCCTTCCAGAAAGCCCATCCTATTCTATCATCCTTTCAGACCCAGATACTCATACATTCTGTCCAGGAGACATACTCTTGACGTACCTTCTGTGGTAGGAAGTATCAGGGTTGTTTTCTAACATCTCAAGATAGACTTCTAAATGGCTAGCACTATTTAAGCCATTTGTTTTATTGTTTTGTAATTACTTCAGATGTTTGACATCTAGCTAATTTTAAAGAAATGGAGATCCCCTCAGGATCCAGATTTACTGAAGTAATGTCACTGAGTGCTCTGTCTTGGTAAAATATTCAGGATTTGTGCATCATTGAGGTGGGGAGGTCTTTGTTAATTTTTGGTTCCCTTTGGTCTATTCCTCTGGTCTCATTTATTTTTTCTTGAATTCAGGTTGTAACAAAGACTTTTCATGGCGCAGGCCTGGTTGTTCCAGTAGATAAAAATGATGTTGGCTACAGAGAGCTCCCTGAAACAGATGGTAATATATTTTACATGTAAACGTGAGCATTTGTTTGTATATATGGAAGGCTTTCCTTATGCTGGGAAGTAGGCAGTTAGAAAGCACAAACTCAGGTTTCAGTCAGTCATACCTAAATTAAAATTACATTCATAGCTGTATGACCTTGAACAAATTATTTAGTCTTGCTAAACCTTGTCTTTTACATCTATAAAATGGGGCCAATAATGTTCATTTCATAGGGGTATTTGGAGTATGAAAGAGGCTATAAAGTATTTAGCATGATGCTTGCTTCATAATGCTCCAAGCAAGGTAGTTACAGTTAAGAATTTAAAGGATTTTCTCCTCTTGGTTACGTTTCTTTTTCTACGCTGTTTCAGAACCTTCGGCATTGCAAGTCCTTGTAAAATAATAATATAACTAAAAAGTAAGCATTTGTGTAGTTCTTCGTAAACATTTTTCATCTGTCTGTAAACTACCTAGTTTTTATATACTTAAGATACTTTATGGAGGCTGGAGAGATGGCTCAGCAGTTAAGAGCACTGAGCGGTCTTGCAGAGGACCTGGGTTCGATCCCCAGCACCCGCATGGTGGCTAACAGCCATCCGTAACTCTAGTCCCAGGGAATCCAACACGCTCTTCTGACCTCTGAGGGCATTGCAGGACACAGATACACTTACATACATGTAGGCAATACACTCATACATGTAAAATAAAAATAATAAATTATTTTTTAAAGGATACTTGATGTAGTAATACAGAAATACTCAGAGAACAAACTATTACACAAAAATCTAAGTATTGCTGGATTGAAAAGGAATTAAAAGCTGGCACCGTGTGGTGCCGCATGCCCCGCATGCCTTTAATCCCAGCACTTGGGAGGCAGAGGCAGGCGGATCTTAAGGCCAGTTGGTCTACATAGTGAGTTCCAGGACAGCTAGGGCTACTGGGAGACCCTATCTCAAAAAGACAGAAAAAAAAAAAAAAGGAATTAAAAATCACTTAGCTCGTGTTTCCCTCCATCTCCTTATTGTGAGCACTTCTGTTAGCATTCTTTATCTTCCTGTTCCCATGGGCATAAAATTTAAAGAGAAATCAAAATTAGTACCTCCCCAAGGAAGAACTAAGTATGTTCCTAATGCACATGTTGCCACCTGTTCCTCAGAGCTGAACTAATAAATCTTAGTCATAAAAGTCTTTGATGTTGATAACCAGAAACAGTGTCAGACAGGAGCTACCTTCCTTTGAGTTGTTGGCCAGGGTGGCCCAAGAGACTCCCAGACAGTAACCCAGAATAGAACTGGGAAGATGTACAGGAGACCCCAATCTTATCTAAAGGAATATTGGCAACTGATTGCTGCTAGATGAGGAAGAACTGATCTTCCTAAAACAAGGATCTCTAGATAGGCTGACTAGATTCAGCAGATGGACAAGCACTGGGGAACGGCTCGGGGTGCCAATAATACAGTGGACAGTAACAGGATGACAGAGTATATGGGCTCCAGTGGGGGGAGGGGAGACTATGGGAGGGTGCCATTTGGGAAGTGGGTATATAGATGAGTAAGATTGTGAGTTATATTTGAAAAAGAAAAAGGGGAAAAAAGCCCTTTTTCCCCCTAGTACCAATGATTAAACCCAGGGCCTTGTGCATGCTAAGCAAGAAAAAAAAAGTCTTTAATGTTGGGACTTGGGAATCTGTACTTTTAACCAGTTCTCTAAAGTAACTTTTCTCAAGCTTTTTTCTGCAGTGTGCCCAGCCATTAGGTTGGGACATGTTATATGACAATTCATATTTAACTATTTCCACATTAAAGGAGTTCCATAGGGGGAATGACTCGGGCTGAGCTGACCAATACTACTGAGTACTTCAGATGAGGCTGGTGCTACTGACCGAGACAATTTGTAATGTTTAATTTTGTATGTTGAAGCAGTATTAAATTTTTATATTATTTTATATGCAGAAGACCCAGGTTCAGTTCCCAGAACCCACATAGTGGCTAACAAACTTCCATTACTCCAGTTCCAGGGAATCTGACACCCTCTTCTGACCTCCACAGGCATTGCATGACATGGGTGCACTTACATACATGAAGGCAATACATTACTTGTACACATAAAATAAACATTTTTTTTTAATTAAAAAAACTTTCTACCATCAAGTTGGGTGTGGTGGCGCACTCCTTTAATCCCAGCACTCCAGAGGCAGGCAGGTGGATCCTTGTGAGTTCAAAGCCAACTAGGGCTACAGGGAGACTCTGTCTCAAAACAACAAAATGTACTAGCATTAAAGATTGTCATCTAATTGTATAGATGATCCCTTTACATCATTGATTTCTTTCAGCTGACCTTAAAAGAATTTGCAAGGCAATTGTCGAGGCTGCAAGTGATGAGGAAAGACTAAAGGCATTTGCGCCCATTCAGGAAATGATGACTTTCGTGCAGTTTGCTAATGATGAATGTGATTATGGCATGGGGCTTGAACTGGGAATGGACCTCTTTTGCTATGGCTCACATGTGAGTAAAAACCTCCACCTTTCCCTACCACATGGGCCACTCATGTTTGCACATTTATATTCCCAAGTTCCAGTGCTGGCAGCGTGGCTCCAGCTTGTACTCAAAAGTGAACTCTTTGAAGTGATCTTTTAAGTATATGTTCTAAAACTGCTTGAAATCTTATCTTGTATTCTGGCAAAGGAGAATATGCAAGATTGTTTCCTCGGGTTTAAATTGAATTGAATTGACCTATTAATATTACAGGGTCTGCCATTTTGTTTGGCATGTGTATAGACCTGTGCATGTGTATGTGGACAGATACCTCCTTTGGCTCCATCTCTATTGTGTTTGGGGACAGCTACTACCATGCTTGAATTTTTTTTTAACTTTTTTATGTGTATGCATGTATTGCCTGCGTGTAGGTAAGTGCACCCGTGTCATGCAATGCCCGTGGAGGTCAGAAGAGACTGTCAGATCCCCTGGGACTGGAGTTACAGACAGTTGTTAGCTGCCATGTGGGTGCTGGGATTCGAACTCAGGTCTTCTGCAAAAATAACCAGTGTTCGTAACCTCTGAGCCATCTCAACTTTTTTATGTGTATGCATGTATTGCCTGCATGTAGGTAAGTGCACCCGTGTCATGCAATGCCCGTGGAGGTCAGAAGAGACTGTCAGATCCCCTGGGACTGGAGTTACAGACAGTTGTTAGCTGCCATGTGGGTGCTGGGATTCGAACTCAGGTCTTCTGCAAAAATAACCAGTGTTCGTAACCTCTGAGCCATCTCTCCAGCCTCCGGGCTTGAATTCTTAAATGTTATTTTTAAATATTTTGAATAAAATGTAGGAAATGGTAGTCATTATTTGTTCATTAGGAAAAATTAACAGCTTTATCAGTGCTTGCTTAACTATAGTTGCCATAAAGTCAAAAGGCCCACAAAGCTTGGTTCCATTTTTAAGCCATATAATCCCTAGCTCTGGGGATGACTGAGCAGTTTTTCCAACACCTTTTCCTTACCTATAAAATGTCTTCCCAGATGTGCGTATTGTTTCTCATTTAATCTTTGGCATGTCATAGAGCATCTTGTCTAAACTCACATGGGCAGACCCTTTACAGAGTGTCCAAGTCCAGAGTCCCAAACTGCAAAGTGCTTGGGACTAACCTATAGCACTGGCTAAAAATGCAAATAGTTTCGATAGGTGTGGGATGAGGCCTCACCATATTCATGTTTGCAGGTGACAGCCATGCCACCGCTGTACAGACCACACTGAGGAGCAAGGCTAAGGCAGGAACTGTCTAGTGTGCAGCACAATCATCTGGAGGGCTTGTTCACAGATTGGTGCTCTCCTGCCCCCACTTGGAAGCTCCCCCAAGTTTGATTGAGTTATGGGGTGAGTCCTGACAAATTCACGCCACTGGTCAGGAGAGCACAGCCTGAGAGCCTTGCTGTAAACCATATACTGCCTTTCCCTGCCTACATTATATATGGTGGTTATCAGTAAAAATATTCAAAATGTTGAACAGGCAGAATAACACAGTCATTAACTAATCAGGGTACTGCTTAATCTGCCAGGACCTATCCATAAATGCCCTAAGATGTGAAGTAGCTAAAAGCAAACTGGATAGCAGGGAGAATCACACATGAGTAATGAAAAGGTTTAGCACAGTACTCACCACATTAAGTGCTAAATAAATGCTTACTATTTAGCAGCAAAAGAATGCAATATTGCTGGGTTTCCACTAGTATACACATAATAGCACCGTAAATCAGTAAACCTAGGGTTGAACTCTTGGCGGGGAAGAAATGTTATCATGGTGGAGAATGAATTTGAGAATAAAAGGGAGAGTGATTGAAAATCCTGTTTGGCATACAGTGTCTGTAAAAGGGAAAAAGAAAAAAAAGAAAGCTTTCATTTCTTAACTGCTAGGGATATCCCAAAGAAAAAGACAGCATTTGAGGGTAGTTTGGGACAAAAAAAAAAAAAAGTATAGAATTTAATTGGCAGCTGGGTGTGGTGGCGCATGCCTTTGGTCCCAACACTTCGGAGGCAGAGGCAGGCGGGATCTCTTGAGTTCCAGGCAAGCCTGATCTACATGGTGGGTTCCAATCCAGCTGGGGCTACGGGGAGACCCTGTCTCTAAAAGACAACCAAAAAAAATTTAATGGGCATGGGAAACTTGAATTAACTCCTTTAATTTCCTTTAAGGTATGCAATCAGTTTCTTAAAGGTAGGCCTCATAGACAGAACATAGGGTGCCTGTCCCATGGTTCAGCTGGGTTACTAACATGATTTTTAGAAGTGGGCTTTGTTGCTCAAGTGCTTTTTGTTAGCCAGACCGTTTGTATTGTGGACTTGATGCTACTGTTCTTTGCTTTTCAGTACTTTCATAAAGTTGCTGGCCAGCTTTTACCTCTTGCGTATAATCTACTGAAGAGGAATTTATTTGCAGAAATTATTGAAGATCATCTGGCAAACCGAAGTAAAGAGAACACAGACCAACTTGCAGGATGAACCAGTTGCTCTGATTGTACAGTATTTTAAAATGGCACTGTCATGTGGCTTTTGTTTTGTTTTTAAGAAATACAGAAATAAAACTATGAAAACATTTACTAAGAACTTTCATAATACAGCTCTCTGGTCTCTGCTCGCTACTAAAAAATGGCAGACCTCTTAACTAGTCTAACATTCTAGAAGTTCTTTAGTTTCTAAGATGCTTAATTTTCTAAATGCTGTCTCCAGTATTATTTATAAAATATGCATATGCAAATTCAAATACTTGTCTATTAACTAGAAATGAGACTAATTTAGAACACTAGATTTCCTTTTTTCCATTTAGTGAACAATCTCAAAAATAGTTTGTAAGATTTTTTTTAGTGTGCCTTAGGATCAGTGTGAATTCCAAAAGGATTTATCAGGTATCAAGGGAAGACCTAGCTTTTCATTTGTGTCACACAAGCTTCACGTGAAGCTGTACCAACAGATCAAAGCCAAGATAGGAATCAGACATTAATGCCAACTATGGGGTTGAGGTTGTGCTCATTGGCAGAGACCTTTATCCAAAATGTGAGTCCCTAGCCACACTAAACTTTATATGTAATGTAATCTATGGCACACAGATGGCAGTTGTAGTTTGGGTGATGTATTTGTAAGGAGGCTTTCTAGAGGGCAATGAAGTAACAAATACAGACTTCTGGTCTCAAAGTCTCAAGAGAGCTAGTAACATGACTGAGGTACTGATCTTTCAACTGCTGAATATTTCTTCATTAGAGAGTAAGCTACAATAGAATACCACACCTTTATCTTTTTCCTTCACTAAAGACATAGTCCATTTAAACTTTAAAAAAAATTTATGTGTATGAGTGTATGGCCTGCATGTATGTAAGTGCAACTGTGTCATGAAATGCCCAGAGGTCCAGATCCCTGGAATTGGAGTTACTGATGGTTGTTAGCAGCCATGTATGTGGTGTTGGGAACCAAACCTGAGTCCTCTGCAAGAGCAGGCAGTGTGCTCAACCGCTGAGCCATCTCTCCAGCCCTGGTCCATTTGAACTTAGTACTTCACTAAATACATTTTTCTACCCACGATCTGACTGGAATACATTTTAAATGCATAAACACATTCATGAATAAAGCACCTTCATCCAACCAAGTTTTAACAAATTGTTACCCAACTTAAACTTGCTTGTTAACTACTTGATGGAATTTCTGTGTACCCTTTCAAGCATGTATGTAGAATGTTTAAGGAAATGGGATGCTGTAAGATAATGTGGGAGATGTCTTTTTAAACTATTCTATAATGATCTAAGGCCCTCATGCTAGCTCAACATTAACCTCGCATACTTAATAGCATTCTACCCAAAATACCACCATCATAACTCTTGTAATGATGTGATGATTCTCCCAGTGTGCTGACCTCAGCTCCACGTTCTAGAGTTTGACAAACTCATAGCTAGTCCGTACCAATACTAAAACCTCATCTCCCAATTTCAAGTATCCTACTCACTAAACATTATCCCCCACCTTTCCATCTCTTCCTCTAGTACCAACATTTTCCCAGCCTGACTGTATTGTGTTAATCACCATTCTCATTCTATCCATTCCATTCTTCATCATCCAGCCTTTAGGTTCACTTCCCATCATTATAATCATGTTTCCATCATCAACTCATGTAGTTATGATAGGACCCTAAACCAAAAACCCTGTCATGCAGGGTACCCAGGGGTCCTAATGCTTTGTCATCTGTTGCCAAACTTCCAGCATGTCCTCCCCATCCTCAGCTGAAGAAAATAGCAGTCAGAAGAACTTGATACAAGAGTCTACCAGCTGCACACTTTACTCTGCCTTTCTAATTTCTATAACTTTTATGTCCTTTGTATCTAAGATTTCATCCTCTCTTACCTACACAAAGACTTCACCAACAATTTTCCCTCTCAAATAGTCCCATTAAGTAGCAAAAGAAACTATAATATCCTGCATATTAAAACCCGATCTCAGACTATCTTCTCTCAAACATTTACATCAGTAACAAGAAAAGATTTAATGTCCTGTGTCTTAAAACACTCAAATTCCTTTTCTGAAAACCTCATAGAGTCAGAACTACTGCCCATCTTTGTCAAGCCTATTCCTATTACCCTACAGCTGTACATCATCCCACTGAGCCAGCTCTCACCCATCATCAGTGCTGTTCACAGTGGCCAGCTTTTAGCCCCCACAAGTACCTGACAGCTGATGTGATGACTCCTTGAAACTCTTCCCTTAGTTTTAGCAGCACCTCTGCACACCCCACCTCGCTGGCAGGTCTGTTTTGCTGGCTCTCACCTCATTCATTGATACTTCTGCCTCCTCTCTGGCCACAAGTAAATCCATGTAATCTCATCCTGTTTCTGGAATAGGCCTCCCCTGTTTAGCTCAGGCTGGACCTTTCGCTTGAACTTGACTCTCATATATACTAGTGCCTACTTGACATCCCCACTTGTAATTTTAAAAGGTATTAAAACTTAATGCTGGGCTGGTGAGATGGCTCAGTAGGTAGGGAGATACTTGCATTCAGGGTCAAACTCAGTTTGATCCCTGGATCCCACAGGGTGGAAGGAAAGAACAAACCCCCTCTAACATCCATGTATATGCCATGGCATGTGCAAGCCTACAGTCACACAAACAAAAATAAATGAAATTCAGAACTTAATGTCCACACTGTTAGATCACACTGATCTTTTCTTCCTGTTCTTTCCCAGCCCACGACATTGTATTTGGTCATTATTCACACCAAAAACCTTGTAAACATCCATCCTTGAGTTCGAATTTGCACTCCTTCCTCACTCATCCATTAGCAAATCCTGTCTCACCTTCACTGTCTCTGGTGGCCTCAAACTACTCTGATGTCACCTGGATTATCCAAAGAGCCTTCTAACCAGTCCTCCAGGTTCTGCCTCTGCCCCCTCGCAATTTGCTCCTAACAATGGAGTCAGATACTAAGTCAAACTATGACACTTTCACTGGCTTCCCACCTTATTTAGAATAATAGTGAAACTTCTACACCCCTGCCTCTTATCCCGTTGCCTCCTCCCCTTTCCAACAGCCACTGATCGGCTCTGGTGTCTTCTTGAACCTGGCAGGAATAGTCTACCTCTCCAAAGTTAATGTGTTTTTGTTTTCTTGACCATTCTTCTCACAAAAAGCCATTCCCCACTCTTTAGGATTTTGCTCACGCTGCCTTATCCCTGAGGCCTCTCCCTGACCACCCTTTATGAAAGGAAGGTACATCCATGCAAACACGTACAAGCCCTCACTGTTTTTCTCCATCAGAAAACTGGAATGAGAACCTTTGCCTGATTTTGTACATGTACTACAAGATGTCACAGTTCTCTTAGTTCTCTGAAGTGACACCACAGTCTGATCCACTGTAGATTTTTCTTTTTCCTAAAGAACATGGAAGAGCTGAATACGGTGACACATATCTTTAATCCCAGCACTGGGGGCCAGTAGGGGGTGGTTATGCAAGTGGATCTCTTGAGTTTGAGGCCTAGTCTACATATCAACTTCCAAAACAGCCAGGGCTACACAGATAGACCCTGTCTCAAAAAATAAAAACAAAAAGAACAAAGACTGTTGCCTAACACAGTAAAATTTAATGAATAGTTAAGTGAAAAAAATAAATGATAAGATTTCTCTTGGCCCTGTAATGTTTTCCTTTTAAATGTTTAGTATGAAAAGATTAAAAATTTCCTCCCACTGAGCAGGACTTGAGTCCAATTAGACTAGTGATTACCCCCAAGATAAAAGTGCCACTACTGCACCAAAAAGAGTTTGCTGAAAAATCATGTGGGGTACGTAAAGGTAATCATGTACACATGGTGAAAGACCCTAGAGAAAAACCTACTGTCACTTCCCTAGACAAATATAATTTCTTAATGTAGTCTACTTATCTTTATAGACAAAATGCCTCACCGCTTCTCAAAGAAGCTTCTTTTTGGAACAGATAGAGATAACTATAAAGATCACAACTGGTCAAATGTAGAGAATAAATGCAGTGCCCAGCTCTGACATATCCACAATACAGACCCACACCCAAGGCTCAGGGAACACCTCAGAAGAGGGGGTGTAAAGAATGCCAGAGGGACAAAACACCTGCTGCTGGTTAATTTATTCTAGACATGATAGGGACGCTGTACCAATAAAATCTCCACAGTCTAATGAGATCTGCATAAATGACAAAACCAACTGATATGCCAAGGCAGATAGGGGAAATGTCACGGGGTCCCACGTCAAGATGAAGAGCTACAGGCACTCAATGGATGCTGAGGAAGAATCAGTTTTCTCCAGGGACTAGCTCCCTGAGAGCTTATCTATACACAGGGACATATAAGCAACACTAAATGGACTCAGTGCATTACACACACACACACAGACACACACACACACACACACACACACACTCTCACACCCCTATGTTTGAATGGATGTATATGTAACAATAATCCAAGAGGAGGACAAGTAATTGAGAGGGAGTGGAGGGATATGGAGGACTTCGTTGGGGACTGGGAAGGATGGAAATAATGCAAAGACAATACTCATGCATGAAGTTTTCCAAAAAAAATATTAAAATGTTTTTGAAAGATTAAATTTTCAAATGTGTTTCCAAGTTAATCTTTTTAAAGCATGCACATCATTTAAGCTATTTTCATACATAAAATTTTTCTTCTAAAAAAAAAAGGTCACAGTTTTGAAACTGAGGAGGAATCATCTTGTGCTGACACTTGGGGGCCCTAGCCTGTAGCCAGCAGCACGTACGTACTGCTGAGTCCAGCATCGCCTCCTCCTCCCCACTCTTTGTTCACAAAGCAGAGGCACGGATGTACACACCATCCTCTTGAGGAACAGCTGTTTGCACCATCCTTTTCAGGCTGCATGTGCAGGGCACATTGGCCTACGCTGCACAGTGCAGCAGTATAGAGGGAAGGTTGTTGTTACAGGTGTAATTAAAGGCCAAACCACAAGTTGTCATAGAGATTTTAATAGATTTTCTGATTAAGTCATCACAGTAATCATTTTTACTGTAATGATATGCAGCTTTACTACACTAGTATAAATAAAAACAGATAAATACAGCTCTAGGTAACATCACAGATTAACAAACTAAGCATTCTTCATGAATCAAAACTGAAAACAATTAAGAGATGCTGACACCCTTGCCTATTCTCATTGTACCTTCTCATAAAGGTACTCAAACAAGGCGCTACGCTTTTTATGTAGGTCAGTGAGTTTGCCAATTAGCTAGGCACATGTATTTATTTCATGGTCTCTACTATCTTGTTTCATTCAAAAGCAAACTTTAATGTATGAAAGGAAATAAAATAGATGGTAGTAACAAAGAAAACCTCTGACTGCATTAAAAATACGGCACATTTCTTGTATTCAGCAGTAAGACATATCAGAGAGAGAAATATAACAAAGAAAATGTACGCTTTAATATCCACCTGAAATGCCAGTCTCTGAAGCAAGAAGGACCATGAAAAAGCAGAATCTGAATTAAGAGGAAATGTGGAAAATAAAATTCACATTCAATTTCATGTCTGAAACTGCAAGAAACTGGTTTCTCCTCTGAAGGCTTGGGATCAGAAGCCGTACATTTCCCATCAGCCATGCTGAGGAGTTGTAGCCCAGGGGTGTGCCTCACACACTGCCAGTATGTTGAAAGCTGTTAAGAACCACCACTTAAAAATGAACTCACTGTGGATAGCCAAAGGAACAATGAAGGGGCTATGAAAAAAACAAAACATGAAATCTGCCAAAGAAGTAACAAGACAAAAACACTAATTTTTGGCAGATAGCTCAGCTGAGAAATTCTAACATTTTGGTCAACTTTGAATCACTCTAATATGGCTTCATGATCTTTTAAGTCTTTGAGATCATACAGATCCGATGTAATCTTACAAATATATTAAGAACTAAGAAGTGAAGAGTTACTTTCAGAATGTAAAAATGGCTCATGGCCAGTTGTTTCACAAAATGTCTTCTCTGCAAAAATTCATTTGCCTATCAAAAATGCATAATCACAGGACATTTGGGCCAGTGCACTGGGTAAACTGCCTTTGCCAGTAGTGAATTAAGACTATGATTAAAACAGATGTTTCCAAAAACAGTTCCAAACACTACAGTACCTTTTAACTCATCCTGCAAAAATGTGCACCACTGCTATTCAAACCATCATCAACATTTCAGGTATGGTTGTGAGCTAACCAGTGAGTCAGAGGTTATGATCAGATTACATTTTAATGGCTACCTTTACAATCTTCTTTTCTTTGTTGATTCTTCTAAAAATGGTTAACACTAAGTTTTGGGTTAAATCTACTAGTAGTAAATTTATGGTATTTTCAACCTTCCAGTTTGTGGGTCAGATAGAGATGGGAGGGCATATTCCAGGGGATGGCAGTGAGAGATCAGAAGAAGGGATCATGTACACACTGATCACAGAGGAGTCACCACCTCTTTTAAATCCTTGCTCCCATTGTAAACTTTGTTCATACCTCTGTATTTGTAAGTCAGAATTAGTCTATAAAAAAAATCACATTAAAAAGGTAAAATTATTTAAGTGCAATATTAACTGATCTGTTTTTTATAAATTTTAATCCATAAAAATATAAATAAGAATGGTAATTTTTTAAGAAAAGAAATATACATTTAGTGCAAGTTATGAATTACATTTCATCTTCAGTGTCAGCAGTGAAACACCTTGAAAGGAAAGAATGATCTAATGTCAAGAAGAAACTCCAGTGTTTAACATGCAATTAATACCAGAGACACAGCTAAACGGAATACATCCTTCTCCTCACTGTCACAACAGCAGTGTTTTTTTTTTTTAATTATGCTGAACAGCACTTCTATATCATAGTAGTAAATTTAGAAATAGAAAATTTGCATAAGACTAGGTCACATTATCCATAAAGTCTGAGAGGAAAAAATAAAACTGTTTAAAGTCAAGTTTCTTGGGGTTTTTTTTTTTGACTCTGAACCACACAGCGCACTGCTAGGGGATTTCATTCATGCCTCAAGATTTTACCTGCTTGGCCAATCTTGGTGTGTGCGCACTTTTCCAAGCCTTTAGTGATGGTACAAACTACATGGTTAATGGCACAAGAAACACTCCCTTCTTGTGATGAAAATTCAGTAAAGTCACAGTACATCTCAATATGAGAAAGGACTGCTTCAAAAGGGTAAACCAATTTAAAGAGGCTTTGTTACAGCTCAGAGGAGAGAGAAGGGGAGGGAGAGGCTGAGGGAGGGTGGGGGAAGGAAATAAAAGCTCTTCTGGAATGTAGAAATGTAATGCTTAGCTATACAATTCATGAGTTAAACAGAACAGTTCTGATATAAAAGGGCAAGACCTTGCAGTCTTAATAGATGGCTCAATTCAAAGAAATCCCTCCAGAAATAGGGACTGATAACGCATTTTTGTGGTGCTGGACTAATAGCCAGGTGCTTGAGGATTCCAGTGTCAGCTCCATGGAGGCTCAAGCCTGCACTCTCAAGACACAGCCTCCATGACTCAGTCAGTGCAGAACACGAGATGATGACAGCTCCAGTTAGACAGAGAAATAGCTTACTCCTTTACTTCTCTCCCTCTTTCCCCTCCCCAAACAATTCCTCCATTTCACCAGCATTATTTGCAAACCAGGTTGCAAAAGCTTCGCTTGTATTTCCTTCCTTTTTTTTTAAAGAAGAAAAAAGTAGACAAGTCCCTCATGTTAAAGAATTGTGCTATTCAACAAACGAACTTCCTCTTCTGCTTCTTCTCTCTCCTCATCTACAGGATTCAGTTGAACATTATTGAAGCGGGGTCTTGGTTTGCCGTCTGGGCCATATGACGGAGGATATCTTTTTTTGTTATGATGCCAAGGAGGCGCCTGAAAGGGATAAACAGAAAAGTGCTATTAAAATAAAAGGGAAAAGGTAGAGAGAAGTTAAAGCTATAGCTGAATCCTTTTTGTTGACAGGACAGATAGCAAAGCAAGCAGCCTGATCTTGCATTTTCAAAAAGTTTTTATTGGTAAAGACAAATTAGCTAGAAACCATCCTTGGATATTAAAAGATACTCAAAGTCATTCAGAGTATGAGGCCCTTCCCACTGAGACTGAGGACTGCATGTCTCATTGAAGCAGAGCTATTTTGATTAATGTATGCCAACAAAAAAGTAACAAAACTGGGAAGATACAAACAACAGATGATTCTGATCCAGTCTGAGAAAGGAAATCCATTCCCATTATCAAGAAGACAATGTTTTAAAACTGCAACGTTTTGTATACCAAAATTAACCAATTTTAAAGAAATAATTTAAGGATTGCTCCATTGTATGCAGAATATTCATGAAAGCACATACTGAGATAAAAATATATATAAAATGGTCAGCACAAAACTTCACTTCCCAAACTTGAGAACTTCAAGAATAAGTCTATAATATAGCCCACATTTCTAGCATAATCATGTTTTTCATTTTTCAATTTTGTGCCCTCCCAAGATACAGTGCTTTTATGAAAGTCTTAAGTGTTAATGCTTACATTAAAAAACAGGTGAGAAATCAAGCAGTGGTCCTAAAGGGTTATTACAGGTGAAGCAGAAAGCAGAATGAATGAGCTGCTACTGTATTTTGGTTAGTAGTTTTTTTAAAAAAAAAAAAGGATGCATGAAACACTTGTGAAATATTAGCATACAACAGGAATACATAATCAATTGTGTACTTAAACAAATGGGGACAGGTTCCACAGAGATATGACAATTGCAGGGCAAAATAATTTGAGGCATTAATTGCTAAAGCCAGACAATTTTTGTTACACATTAAGATCTAAATTTATCTGTAGTCATGACACCACTAAGACATAAAGCCTGGTAAAACAAAAGCTACTTAGGACAGTCTAGAAGCGTCATACAAAAGGGGTACATATACGATCTATGTACAACTCACTAATGAAACGGCAGGACACACATTGTGACCTTGAAAGTATGCAAGGGACAGCAGAAAAAGAACTACTGTTATGACCTAAATATATACACATTGTGCTCCAGTTAGTGTGCCCACCAAAAATTCCATTCCGCTGTCAACATTCCTACTCACTAAGCTCTCTTAGTCACAGGAGCTTAGGTTTATCACAAGATAACACAGGTTACGATGCATAATAAGGATGAAGGGTTGGGGTGATAGGGCAGACATTTTTAACCAGTCAGGAGTCTTCTGAGACCGGTAAAGCCACTAAGGGAGACAGATTTTTCATTTTTAAGCATTTCCAATAAATGTTTCCTCATGCAACTACAAAACTTTTTGCAGTTCTTAAATTGTAGCTAATGATTTTGATGAGTGATGTTTACTTCTGCTTACTTTCTAAGAATGGAATTATAGACAGTATATCTAAATTTATCTCACAGACATCTGATCAGATACAAGGATAACTGGCAGCATGGTGGGACTGCTTTGCTCTCAACAGTTCACAAGTTTCATGCTCCTGACTTCTAAGCTCTAGTGAGGAGATCTGATACGCTAATCACCAAGGGTTCCACGTGCTGCTTTAGTTGCTCGAGATGCTCTAAAATGTTCTTCTTTGTGATGATCCCCAAGACAATCCTGAAACAGATTATTATGCTAATAACTGTGTGAGAAATGAAATTAAATGAGATTCCAATCATAATGATAAAGAATGAGAAAAGAAAAGAAAAACATGAACCATAAGAATGCTTCTTATGAACTTGGGAGAGATAAAAATAAGATGATTTAAAAACTTGCAGAAATTCAACTAGCTTCAAAAGTGACACACTACTATTTCTAATGGTGGGTTATCTCCCTTTTCAAATTAAAAATCAAAATTATAAAAGTTCATTATGAAGATGGCTAAAATGAAAAGTGTAAAAGAAACGACACACAGCTATAAACCTCTGAAATCTGCAGATTTGTTTTCAATGTTCTCTCCTTAGATGAACATATTTTTCTGATGAACGTATTTTTCTAATTTCTGAGATCACAACCTCACAGCTATCATTTAAATACCTCTAACAACGTGATGGTCATAAATTTTCATAAGAATACCTGAAACTAGACTACTTTTAATTAGCAGGCATCTGACTACTCATTTTTAACCGCAGTATGTGGCACTATGAACAGTAAAAGTTTAAAAAAAGTTAAAAAATTTTAAAATTCCAGAAGCCCATTCCAAATGCCTTCAGGTTAGGCATTTCCTTGGTGATATGCTTAAAGTCAACTTTCCTGTTAAGCTGCCTTTGAAATATCTGACTTCTTGAAGAATGTCCCCAAGGGACTTCAAAGCAGTCTGGCCCATACAAGTATGTCCCTTATAAAAAGCAGTAATGATTTGGGGGTGGGGAAGCAGGGAGGGTAAAAAATTAAAAAAGCAGAAACAGGTTCACTCCTTCTGTTTTCTCATTATTTTACTTAAAACAATGTAGTAAAGTTTCCAGCGCACGGGAAAAACCTCCCCCTCCACAAAGCTCAGAGACTGTGTTATAGGAAATGAACTAGACAGACACTTATTCTTTGACTAAATGCTTGAGTTTTAAAAAAATGTTGGGGCAGTGGTAAACACACTCAAAGTATATTATATACACGTAAGAAAATGTTGTTATGAAACCCATGATTCTGTACAATTAATACATGTTAATAAAAAGAAACACATCTTTAAAAAAATTTTCTTAAACCTACCAGTTCAATTGAGTTTATGGTTAGGAAATGTGAAAATCTTGGCAATTAACTAAATACAGTAACTCTTACTACTGTTTTTCTATCCAATTGTGTAGAACAATTGATTTCAGCTGGGAAGCTCGGCCATGCGTGCCTCAGAGGAGAGTTTAGACATTTGCAAAGACCAACTGGCAAATTCAGACACTTACAAAGAAACCTCTAGTTCATAAAGCACAGAACTTTAAAGAGAGGTGAGGGGAAATCACACAGTTACTCTCTTTAATGTAGAAGACTGGTTTCAGAAAATGACACCAGGCTCAGTGTTCTTGTATTAATTTTAGGGTAAAAGGAAAAATCAATGCAAAAATGTGTCTCATGTAAGAATAATATGCTGCTTCTGTGGGGGCTAACAAATAAAGATGTAATGATATAAAAAGGTAGAAAATAGCATTTCCCAAAGTGTGTCCCAAGAAACATTTTCCCCAAGAGTATATCCCACCTCACCCCACCAAAATACACTTGCCCTTTCAAGGCAGCCAGGGAAGCTATAATTGCTACCATCACCAGTCTGGGAACCAAAAATATTGAAATTTTTAAAGCTCTGAGAAGTTCCAAAGTAAATCTCAGCTATATTTAATTCAATATTTTCTAGGCTTATTCAGTCAAAACATTTTTTGAGCAATTTCAACATTTAACTGCCACTGTAATGATATACGGACAGTTCCCAGAACCCCTCTTTTTTCCCCCTTGCACCTATGGTACTAGATTCATTGTCTGTCTTCCCCTAAATACCTGCTTTCCACCCTCAAGGTACTACCACAAGCTGAAAAACCCTGAGAGCACCCAGAACTTTTTGTTTCTCACTAAAAAACACAAAGACTTTTCTCAGTAACTCTAAAAGTAAAACACCCTGCTGCTTCTTTAGAAGTTCACAGAAAATCAAGTTTGAAGAGCCCCCTGCCTCAAATGATCTTTTTTCTTCCCAAATACATATTATTTTCTGTGAAGGACAGAAATAAGAAAAAATGTGATCAGGGCAATGAACTATAATCCCTTAGAAGGACGCTCCTTCACTTTTAATATCCATCAGCAGCACAGATAAAATTTTAAGGAGCTCTCATCCCCCCTAAAAAATAAGTTTTATTCTTTCTTTTAAATATTTTCCTGTCTAACATCTATATTGCCAAAATTCTGTGACTTAATCAGCAAGGTGAAATAAAAAGTTAACCACATAGCAGGGCTTTAATAATAATCACAACTTACAGAATAAATATTTGCTAGTACAGAAAAGAATCTCTGCCAGGCACAGGGAAAAACTCAAGTAAATAATAGCTTATGATAATTCGCCTGAGGTTCTGATTGAGCCACTTAATACTTCAAAGGGCCCAAGGCAAAGCTTTATGAAAAGATACACTATTTAACTAATAATAAGTTTTTAAACAATTTAGTTTGGTACCATTTTTTAAAATTAGACTATAGAAACAAAAACAGTACCATATTTTGTGAAACATTTTCTGTAATAAGTAGCTGTGAGAAAAACTAACTTCAAACTCCTTGCCATTAATTAATAGCTTTATTCTTTTGTTAAGTATTTCTATCATATTCCTAAGGAATATGGTTTAAGTTTCACTTCATTTAAACACTGAATATGGATCTAATGCTCCCACTTTGTTGTTTTGTTTTTTTCTTTTTTTGAGACAGGGTCTCCCTGTAGCTCCAGCTGGCCTGGAACTCACTATGTAGACCAGGCTGACCTTGAACTCACCAGAGATCTGTCTGCTTCTGCCTCCCAAATGCTGGGATTAAAGGCATGCACCACCATGCCTGGCACACTTTGGGGTTTTTTTGTTTTGTTTTCATTTGTAGAAAAGTAAGTATCCATGACACTGCTATTCCTTACCCAATATGGTCTACTGTATTGGCCAAGAAAATGATTTAATATATTAAGAAATCACAAAGAAAGAGACTATTCTATCAGTAAACTGGTGTAAAATAGCAGCAAGAGATTGGGAGCTTAAAGGTGAAAAGAGTTTAAGTACATTATGAAACCCGTTTGCACACTAATCACTACACCTGGGAAGTAGGACCTTGCCACTGAGTTTGCAGAGTTATGTAAGAAAGCATGAAGGTGTTCAGTTGTTTTCTCCCTTTGTTGTTTATTCCTCCTTTCTCTAGAAAGGGTTCATGTGTTCTATTACCCACATGTTGGTACAAAATCTTATAAAAAACAAAACAAAACAAAAAACTTGTGATCCCCTTAAGTGTTCAGTACAATTTATCAACCAGCTTCACACTACTCAGGACAAGCTACCCAGTTTACACACAATCCTAGAACACCCTTTGTTTCCTCTTCCTAGCATTTCTGTTACATGAATTCACATGAAACAATGTTCTTCAGAATTCTAACAAGTTACCCAGCATGGGGGTGCATGCCTATAATCTGAATAGTCAAGAGGTGGAGGCAGGAGGATTACAAGCTTAAAGTCAGCTTGGGCTACACAGTGAGACCTTGTATCAATATCAAAAAATAAATAAAAATTAAAAATAATTCCAACAAGGAAAAGTAATATAATGGAAATAAAGAGGCCTAAACACATGAATGTTCATAAGCCATTAGCAGTTTATGTGTACGACTTGCGTTTCAAGGTGGACCAAAAGAAACAGCATTATCAAAGGAGATTTTTAATGACAAATTTTATCGTGTTATTTTCTTACATGATAAATATTGGTTAAACAAATACATAGCAAAATATCTAGGAACTTAAGAGTTGTACAACACACCTATACCCCAAAATGAAATACAAAAAGAGAATGGTTTTGCAGTGCTCCCTAGAGGTTAGGCCTACCATTTCCACAGGAAAGAAAATACTATAAGCACAACATGCTCTCCATTTGGAAATGCTTCCATATCTCTTCTCCAAAGAGCATCCTTGCCAAATGCTACTTTATGTCTGGGCAAAGAACAGAGAGTTGACATCCTTCTTACTTTCTGGCAAGTGTGAAGCTTAACTGACTGATCCTGCATTTATAACTATAATAAGTCAGATTTTTTCCACTTGAGAGCTGACTCCTACTCTGCCCTAAAAAGATTCCATTAATAAGGATCATAAATTCTGGTAAGTGAATTGATCCCTGTGGTGCCAAACTTACCCATTGTGAGTTACAAGGCACTGCCTGAGACCCAGCTTTCGGAAGATGTCTACCACAATCTCCATCGGGGTATGGTCTGTCACTGTAAAAGGGCTCATGTCAAGGATGCTTCGCAATTTTAGTGGCCGAGGGCTTTCTGCTGGAAGAGATGGGGTATGCTGTGCAAAACACACCCGAGAACTGCCAACGATACCTTCTTGTTTTTTTCTGGCGCTTTCTGAAAAGAGATAGAGAAGACCAAAATTTTTCAATTGTTAGGTTTTACTTTTTATAGGTCACTAGCTTCTGTGGGTTTTTTAAAGAATTTGTACGTGTACACACACACACACACACACACACACACACAAACAGTAGCTTCTGTGGGTTTTTTAAAAAATTGTACACACACACACACACACACACACATACACACAACAGTAGCTTCTGTGGGTTTTTTAAAAAATTGTACACACACACACACACACATACACACAACAGTAGCTTCTGTGGGTTCTTTTAAAAAAATTGTACACACACACACATACTTTTTCCTGTCTTCTACTTCAAAAAGAATTAACAAAATTAACATTTGGTAATTTCTTCTAACTGAACTAGAATCTGCCAATAACCAATAATCTTCAGGCAAATACATGGATTTTTTTAGTGGGGCTGAGCTTGTTTTCTAACTTTCAGAGACAAGGAAGCATGTTTGATAAAAGGAATTTTATTTAAAACCTGTACACATCACAAGAGCATTTTACTAGAGAATCCATCATCAAATGAAGCCTACCTATGCTGAATGCATTGGAGAAGAATGACACTAAAGAGTTTCACCCTTGCTTTGATTCCGTTGTGTAGTTATACAATCCATCACTATGAATTAGCTGGTTCTTTCACTATTCTGACATTAAAGTATAACTTTCTGGATGAGTCAAGAGCACTACGGATAGGTTGAAACTACAATTAGACTAACAGTGGATACAGACTGACTTTGGGGTTGTTCTATTTATAAAGGTCTTATCAATTTCTTTTCCTCTCCAATGTGCTCTGTCTTGCTGCCTGTTTCCACTCCCATCTTTAAAAGTCCAAGGTAAGTAACAAGGACGGAGAAAGTAGACACCAGAAGGAAAAGAGAAACCCATAATAACATGACAGAATACGCAAATAAAACAGGCAGCCAGCTTTATGCTTCTATTTTGAGTTAACATTACTTAGAACTATGTGTATGTAAATATAGTATTAGTTATAGTGAAAATATTTTGAGAATGTATTTTGCTACAAAAATATTTAAGCTAAAATAATACATGCCAGTCTGATTGAAGAGGAAATATTACTGCTCATAAATGAATGATGTAATGTTCTTTACTCCTTCTGACCACTAAAGTCATACTTAACTGGGTTATAAACATATTTCAGTACTAAGGCACTAAGTGAAGTCTTAATACGTAGTACTTCCTGGACCAGATTCAAAGTATAATCATGATACAGAAGAGAAGTCCATTAGCAACTGACATAAAGGGTTCTTGAAAAATGCTTACCAAGTTGCTGTCAGCCCATAACAATGTAGCTAATAGCCTGTGCCTCACAACTAAATGGTATAGTGTAAATAATAACAGTATGTATCATTAATCGACACACAGAATAAACTGATGGCAAGTGTGACATCAACAACATTAACAGTAGAGTGTGGGTACTGGAAAGATGGCTCAGTGGTTACTAGCACTGGTTGCTCTTGTAGAGAACCCAGGTTCAGTTCCCAGCACCCACATGGCAACTAACCACTATGCATTGGATCCAGAGGGGTCCAACAACTTCTGGCCTCCATGGGCATTGCACAGCATGGATGCATTTACATACATGCTGGCAAAACATTTATATACATAAAATAAAAAATTTTTTCTTAAGTAGCATGTAAAGAGCAAAAGTACAGTTTTATATTCAACTGAAGTTATCGGGAATAAACGGTCAAATTTAGCATACTCTAGTACTGCAATAGGGGTGAATATAGAATTTTTAATTCCAGTATAAAAAGCAAAAGAATTAAAAAACAACTATTGCTACAATAGCAATAATGGCATGTGCTACCAAATAGTTAGAACTAGACTCAATTATCAATATTAAATATACATCAATAACAAATGTACCACCCAATGAAAATGCACTACATGCTCAAATGGTTAAGGACTAAACAACTTTTTTAAAAATTTACTTATTGCAGTACTGTGGATAAAATCCAGGGCCTTAGACACATGTACCACTGAGCTGTATCCCTAGCCTAAAATGCTTAACTCTGTAAGAATATTAACTTTATTTTCTGGAATGTTCCTCTGATATATGAAGTACCAGAAGTGAACAGTCAGACTCTTTGCCTTAAAGTCTCATATTAAAAAAATGGTACTTTTCACTTTGGAGGCGGAGGCAGGAGGAGCACGAGTTCAAGATGATCCTCAGCTACACAGAAATTTTGAGGCCAGCCTGGAGTACAAGAGACTTTGCCTTAGCCCTCCCCTCCCCTAAATAACTGTCACTTTTATTTTTCATTTTATTTCAAAATTGTTAAGAGATTTAAATGGCCTCACCACAGAATAAGTTATGTGTGGTGATACATCAATTAGCTTGACTCTGTCATTCCACAATATACGCATTTTTCAAAACATGACATTAATATTAGTTTCGATTTGTCAATTAAAAATAAAGAGAATGTGTAAAATGAATATAAATTTTATATGAATGTCATAATCACTTTAACAAGCATCATTCATTAGACATACAAAATGCCAGGATATCTACTAAGTTGTTTTATTTTATTATTTTTAATGTCATTCTTTCACAGTACTTTGAAGTAGAAAACAACACAGATTTCATTTTCTTCTTTTTTCTCTATTTTTTTAGAAACAGGGTTTTGCTATGTGCGCCAGGCTAGCCTCAAACTTGCATTCCTTCTGCTTCTCCTCCAAGTGCAAGGATTACAGGTGCATGCCAGCTGCAGATTTCACTCTCCAATACTACTGTGACTACTACAAAGTTCCACAACTGGTTAAAACATAGAATAAGTGTCTGTCAAGTACCCATCCCCAAGTGACACATCTACAATGAAACCTCTACACCTAAAAGTTCATGGAACATCATGGAAAAGGAGGTGGAAAGACTGCATGAGCCAGTGGGACAAGACACCTTGCTGCGAGTTAATGCACTTTAGGCATGATAGAGGAGCTACACCAATGAAATCTCCACAGTACATTAGTCTAACAAGATCTGCATAATGACAAATCAGCTGACATGCCAACGTGGATGGGGAAATTTTCACAGGGTCCCACCACAAGAGCTTCAAGCATTCAGTGAGAAAGACTGCATGAGCCAGTGGGACAAGACACCTTGCTGCTAGTTAATACACTTTAGGCATGATAGAGGAGCTACACCAATGAAATCTCCACAGTACATTAGTCTAACAAGATCTGCATAATGACAAATCAGCTGACATGCCAACGTGGATGGGGAAATTTTCACAGGGTCCCACCACAAGAGCTTCAAGCATTCAGTGGATGCTGAGGGAGAATCAGTTTTCTCCAGGAATTAGTTCCCTAAGAGGCTGTCTAATCTCAAGTGGGCAGCCTTAAACACATGTACACAAGAGCATTATGGCACAAGCGAGTGTGTGTGTGTGTGTGTGTGTGTGTGTGTGTGTGTATGCACTATGTACGTGTATGTAACAATAATAAAGAAGACAAGAAATTGTAAGGGAGGAGGGGGACAAGGGAGAAGCTGGACACAGACTGGGAAGGGTAGAAATAATGCAAATACAACACATATGAAACTCAAAAAAATTTTTTTAATTAAAAACAAAGTTCTGGGACTGCTATTTTCATGATCTTAAATAATCTCAGACCTCTCATTTGGTTTAATATTCTAAAAACATGTTCTGTAACATCAAAAGGGAGAATATATCTAGTTTGATATATTTCAAAGATTGTATTTTGTTAAGACAGTATGGAGAAAAAAAAAATCTGTCCTTCAATAATGTATACTTATGTAAATAAATACATATATAAATGAATCAGACTGTATAGTCTGGTTTTCCAGTAACAACTTCATAGAAGTTCATGTTGGCAAATATTTAAGGTAAGTTCAAAAGTCATCATGTGAGGGCCATATCATGTGAGTTATCATTTCTGATGTCATGTCTTGTTATCTCATGTATTTATAGTATCATATTTCTTTAAACCAACAATATTTCCTATCCAGCAGTGTCCCTCTCAATAATGATAAACTTAAAAAAATATCCACTGTCAGCAGGAATATGATTTAAAGTTTTAATATTGTCTTATCTTTTAAAACCTGGTCATTTTCCTTTAACTTTCTCTATAAATTCCATTAATCTCTGAAGTAAAGATTCCTTTCTTGGAAAACACAAGCTTTATTTAAGTAATATAAATTAATACCACTTGCCTCTGGAAATGCAACCAATCAAACTTTGTTGCTTTCTTTTCTCCTAAAAATCTATTACTCATAACATGTATACATTCATGTATATGTTGCTTAAAAGAGTACCTATTGCAATTGTCAGGTCTCTTCTGAGGGCAAATCCCACTAATCTCTGAGATTCTTTTGACATTATGACAGGAAAGCCATTGTAGCTGGTTTCATTAATCATGTTTTCTATGTCATCTACTGTCATATTGTCCTGGGTCAAGACGGCTAAGGGAGGATCATTTCTTCGCGGTCTCATGACATCAGCAGCAAGTGTGGTATGAGTGAATTCTTCTTTTGCATCCAAGAAAGGGTACCCATTTAATCGGATGTGTGCTTCATAAATGCCTTCCCTACCAAAGGCATCACCAACCCATTTACTGGTCATTACTGCAGCCATAAGGGGAACAATATACTCCAAGCCTCCAGTAAGCTCAAAAACAATAACCACGAGGGAGACAGTCATTCTTGTCACACCACCTGAAAGAAATAAGAACCACTGGTCAGGAAGGGCAGAACCCTCACCACTACTTGCCCCAAGAATTCTTGCATGAGGCAGGTAAATACGGAATATGGAATATAGGAAGCAGAATCACAAAAACTACTACTCTTAGGGCAATAATCACTCCTTCTAATATGATATAGAGAAAACCCAATCTGTGTATACCACAAAAGATGATTAGAAAAACAATTCAAAACCTTTTATATCACTTTTCAAAAAATCAGAGCCGACCAACAAAAACAACTTTGCCATTTTGATTTATGGATGCACAAAAGACACAATTTCACGGTTATGAAAGTTTTAAATACTTAAGGAAATGTAATAGAGTGCATCAGGTTTTCTTGCTACCTATTTTAAAATTAAACATATATGGGTAGAATATTAAATTAATAAATGCTTGCCTAGTATCAGCAAGGACCTGGGCTTAATCCTCAGCATTACAAGAGAGAAGGAAGGAGAGAAACATTCATATATTCATTCACTCAAATCATCATTCTCAACTATGATTTCTATGACAATTCCTCCCCAATCCACATCTTTTAAGTTCCTGATGCCTCTTCCCATGTTCCAGTTGTGCATACCACACTCACTATTGGGCTTGTTGTTTGTCAACTCTAAGAAGACTTTAGGTTACTGCCACAGAAAACATCACATACCGAATTCCACACCTTCACCAACATGGAGTTATTTCAGCTTCTCTGACCCCAACTCCTGACACACATCCTTCGTAACAACCTAGGTGGTTATTCTTAGGGTTTGATTTTATTCCAGTATGTAGATGGCCACCTAGACCCATCTGATTTCTTCTGTAAAATATCCACCTGTGGTTCTTTTCTCAGGATTCCCACTATTACCAAACTAGTCCAGGCTCTGAACACTTTGTCCTATTTTCACACCACTTTATCTTACCTCCTTTACTCCAGGCCCCACTACTTTCAATCTACTTTTTAAGCCATGTAGTAGTACTACTAAGTATATTTTTTAAAAAGATAGAGGCTTACTATGGTAGCCCAGGCTAGCCTCGAGCTGACAAGCCTCTTATTTCCGCCTTCCAAATACTGGAATGACAGGCATGCACAACTGAAGTATCATTTTCAGCATGTTGTTCCTCTGCTCATGGAGGACAGAAGAGGGCATCAGATTCCTTGGAACCAGAGTTATAGACAGTTGTTGGCCACCATGTGGGTGCTGGGAAGTGAATCCACATCCTCTGCAAGGGCAGTCAGTGCTCTTAACAGCTGAGCCATCTCTCCAGCCTCCTTTTCTTATTTTTCTACAAATGCATCTTATGTACTAGAGGGCTAATAAACAAATCATTTATTAAGGCTGATAATAAATTACTGCAGAATATAAAGTAAAACTATTCTGAAGCTTTGTTAGTATGTTGATCTTAAAAACAATCTATAATTGTTATAGACAGGCTAAGATTCTTAACAATGAAAAACCCAAGTTTCCTTGGACAGGAATCTGGTTAAGCCTATGTTGTACCAAGATGGTTTCTGTCATAAAACATTATGTTCTCAGACAAGTATATTAAAAATCAGTGCTACATAGGAGTACTACTGCATGGTTTCTTTTAAAGTATTCCCTCCCTCTATCCTGCATCCTCTTCTCCCCACCAAACCACCTACCAAATAAATATGCACTTCCACTGGCTCTTATCTTTCTCAGACTTACAAACATCCAGACACAAGCAAATACAATCACATTACCTAAGCACGCAGCAGCACCAACCATGGCATAGAGACCGGGTGTGATGCAGTCAGCCCCAACCTCACACCACTCCTTGAAGATGAACCAGTCATGGTGATAGTAGGCAAGCTGCTCCACGGCAATCCCCACAATTCTCCCTGCAATTGCGCCAATGGCCATGCTAGGGATGAACAAGCCAGATGGAACCTGTAACAGTAATAGAACTCTTAATAAGGCAGCAATCCTCTCAAGTGACTGACTTCCTATGAATTTATTTCTAGGAACTGGCTGTATGTATCTTACTGATACTGTAAAATCCTCATACAAGTAAAACTACAGCAAAGTCCTGTTATAACCAATCCTTAATAATTCTTTGAATTCAACTGCAAAGTAACAAAGCATATCCTCTAAGCCACAGAGAAAATAACTTGTGGCTATTTATCCTTTATCCTAGGGAACCCCTAGTATCAGTCCCTAACAAAATTTTCAGTAAATTAAAAACTAAAAGGACAATATGAAGTATTTCCAACAAACTAAGCCAATTCAGTTTGAAGCAGTATTCTCCCAAGACTGACCTTCCTATATATTTACAGATGATAGAAATAGTAGACGCTATTCCTTTTAAGTCCTACACCATAAATTAGGCAATCTTATCAGAGTCCACCAATATTTTGACTAGAATCTATGATCAACTAAAAAGAGAAAAGTATTTATTGGTCAGACGTTTAGAAGATAATAATAATGACATGTTAACATGCATTGGGCTCATTAAAGGAATATACAATACAAGGGATCACTATGTATTTCACAACTTCCTAACAGTTAGTCCTTCAGTCCCAGGCTGGGCCTTAACAATCAGCTGTCACCTGCCTCCAGCTCCTTTAACTTGATTTGCTAAGAAAAACAGAGTAAAACTTCAAGGCTTTTCTATTATTTGAGTTTGATACTCAATGGACTAAGCAAGGCCAAGAGAAAAGAGATCTTAACTTCAAACATTACCACACTTCCAATCTCCCAGAAATAAAGCTATTATTCCACATAACATATACTACCAAATACTATCACATGAACTACAAATGCAGTAATTCAAAGAACAGTGTATGACAAGCTGACACATTTGATTCTCCATATCTATGCTCATGTAAAAGAGCTATATTTAACACGTCCAAGAGAAGGAGTATCCCAGAGCATATGGCTTTAAATCCATGATGAAAAAAGGCATGGTAGTAATGACTTAGTAATTTGATTATGAGGCTGCAGTATCCATTTAAGTTAACATCCTGCAGACTAGGACCAGTAAAATAATGGCTTCCCTAGAACCTATAAAGATGATGAGAATAGGGTTATAGAGAATTAGGTTGTTAACCAGCTGACTTTTCAAACAGATTATCCTATCTTATCTGGGTATGTGGCAGCACATGCCTTTAATCCCAGGATTCGAGAGACAGAGGCAGGTGGATCTCTGTGAGACCAAGGCCAGCCTGGTATATGTACATGTGAGTCCCAGACCATCAGTGGCTACAGGGAGACCCTGCCACAAAAAAATAAATAAATAAATAAACAAACAAAAAAGTAATCAGGAGGGTTTGGTTTTTTTTTTCATGTGAAAGGGGGATTTATACTTCTAAGATAAGTGACGAGACAAGGAAAGACTTGGCCAGCCATTGCTGGCTTTGAAAAATCAAGAAAAGTGGCATGAATCAAGAAGTGCAGGCAACCCCTAAAACCTGGAAAATGCAGAAAAAAAAAACAAAACAGATTAACCCACAGTCCTCAGAACCTACTAGGAACCCCTTGGATCTCAGTCCAATGAGGCCTTTTCAGACTTAGGGTCTCAGAATTGCAATCATTTGGACAAAATTTCATTTCTCATTATACATAAAAATTGTGAACATTTCTAAACTATTCCAGTACCACCTCATGTGAACACTGACCTTGATGCCAAAAGTGAATACTGTCATTATTATTTTAAATATGAGTGCCAGGCATAGCTGCCAAATAGCTGAATATACTCCAACGCCTGCTGGGCGATCGGGAATATCATCGACAATTTTACTGGCATTCATGTCATTTCTGTAGTCACAAAGCGAAGAGGATTCCAATGGGCCACAGTCTGTGAAGAGCTCTTTAATCAGTTCACTGGTGTTGAGCCTAGTGTATGGATTGGGGAAGGCTACCACAGCTGTGATGGCTGCGACAATAATGACTTCAAGAACAGGATACTTTCCAAATTTGGTGGATTTGCGTCGACGACACCAGGCAATATTTGCCCTAATGAAAAAGGCTCCCCAAAGCCCTCCAAATACCCCTAGGAGAATAAAAGGGAACAGTTCAAAAAGGTACCATGGTGTATGATACTCCACATAAAAAAGGACCAGGCGGCTGTTACCAAATGGATTGATGGATCTCAAAACAAATGCAGCCACCAAAGCAGCAAAAAATGATCTCCATAAAGTTTTGAGAGGAAAATAATAGCTAACCTAAAAAAAGAGAGAGAGAGAGAAATTATCATTATGTCTCCTTCACAACTTGAGCATTATTTTTTGCAAGATTTTATTTTTATTTTATGTGTGCCAGTGTTTTGCTTGCATGTACGTTAAGTATACCACATGCATGCCTGGTGCCCACAAAGACCAGAAAAGGGTGTTGAATTCCTTGAAACTGGAGTTAGCTGCCATATCCTCTGCAAGAGCAGCCAGTGCTCTTAACTGCTGAGCCACCTTCTCCAGCCCCAAATGTCTAATTATTTAGAATACCTAGCACTGTTTAATTTCCAAAAGGAGTTTCACGTGTAATTGAATCATGGTAGCTAAAAATAAATGCACCATTAGCAATTCTTAATAACTCATAAAAATGTAACTGATTTAGCTCTTCTACTAAAAAAACAGAACTTTAAAAAAAATGTAGGGGCTGGAGAGATGGCTCAGTGGTTAAGAGCACTGACTGCTCTTGGAGAGGACCCGGGTTCGATTCCCAGCATCCACATGGTGACTATGAACAGTCCTTAACTCCAGTTCCAGGAGAATCTGAAGCCCTCTTCTGACCTCCACGGCATTGCACGACATGGGTGCACTCACATACATGCAGGCAATACACTCATACACATAAAATTTAAAAAAATATAAAAATAAAAAAATGTAATCAAGGCATATTTTTAAGTAAAACATAAAAACAAAAAAGTTCTAAGAACCAATGAGAAAACAAAAACTATATTCTGATGAAGCAACAAAATTTCCTTAAACATCAACTTTAAGAAAAACTAGTAAGGGACTACAAAAATGTCTCAACAGTTACAAGCACTGGCTACAGAGTTACTACTCTTACAGAGGACCCATATGGCAGCTAATTACAGTTCCAAGGGATTCGATACCCTCTTCTCCTCTGCGGGCACCAGGAATGCATGTGGTATACTTACAGACAAGCAGGCAAACACTCACTCACATAAAATAAAAATAAAATCTTACAAAAAATAATGCTCATTAAGCAAAACTTTTAAAGACCAGCTTACAAATTAATTTAAAACAGTAAAATAAAAATATGAACTACAGGGACTGGAGAGATGGCTCAGTGGTTAAGAACACTGGTTGTTCTTGCAGAAGACCCAGGTTTGAATCCCAGCACCCACATGGCAGCTAACAACTGTCCATGACTCCAGTTCCAGGGGATCTGATGGTCTCTTCTAACCTCCGCAGGCATTGCACAACACAGGTGCACTTACCTACATGCAAGCAATATATGCATACACATAATAAAAAAGTAATAAAATATTTTCTTAAAAAATATGAACTACAATTTAGCCAATAGAGATATAGCTCTAGTGTTTACTATTAAGTAAAATTTATATCTTCCTACTTTTAAATAGGCCAACAAAGAAAAGTTAAACTAGGAATAATTACTAATAGTTATACATAAATAAAAGATTTAAAACAGGGGCGTGGAGAGATGGCTCAGTGGTTAACATCATGCAGAGGACCTGAGTTCAGTTCCTAGCACCCACATCAAGCAGTTCATAACCATGAATAAAACTCTTGCTCTGACACCTTCTTCTGGTCTCTATGGGCATTGCACTCATGTGCACATACCCACACATAACACACACAATTTAAAATAAGGGTTTTGTTTGTTTGTTTGTTTGTTTGTTTGTCTTTTTGAGACAGAGTCTCCCTGTAGCCCCAGCTGTCCTAGAACTCACTATGTAGACCAGGCTGGCATCGAACTCACAAAGATCCACCTGCCTCTGCCTCCCAAGTGCTGGGATTAAAGGTGCGTGCCACCATGCCCGACAAAATAAATATTTTTAACATTTTTATAGTTTATTTATTTTTTTATGTGTATGACTATATTCCCTGCATATAGGTAAGTGCACCAGTGTCCTACAATGCCTGTGGAAGTCAGAAGAGGGTGCTGGATCCCCTGGAACTGGAGTTAATGGGCAGTTTTTAGCTACCACATGGGGGCTGGGGACTGAACCTGGATCTTCTGCAAGTGCAGTCAAGTGCTCTTACCTGCTGAGCCATCTTACCAGTTCCAAGATAAATATTTTTTAAAAAATATTTAAAACATAATTTTGGTAGGTATGGAATATGAACAAATCGTTACTTTTTATATAAGAGCTACTTAAAGGTGTTCTAAAAATAAATTTGAAAACTTAAACTCTATTACATCACTTATAAAACTGAAATGTACACCAAGATATGTTCGTGAATGTAATTATACATAATTTTAATTGATGTGCTTCTGTACGCACCTCCTCCAGACTAAAAAGGACTCCTCCAATTGGTGCACCAAAAGCTACAGAAACACCTGCAGCTGAGGCAGCTGACAGCACCTAGGAAGAGAACGTGGCTTATGACTTATTTTCTTAACAATTCAAATTCACCAAACAAAACCTTTTATCCATGACCATTCCAAACGCCTCTTCTGAATTTAACTCACAAGTCCTCATCCCCAAGCAAAGGGAAAGTATTCATTTCTAAGATATTTGGGTTTCTCCCTTTTTTCTACTTGAACTGAAACCTCATTCACAGATTCACTATGGAGTCAAAAACACACACTAAATACACTAATGTGGTTATGTTGAAAAGAAGAGAAGGAAACGAACAGACAACTTTCACTACTGTTTGTACAAAGGAGGAAAACAAAAAAGAGGAACTAAAAATAAAAGTTTATTTTTAAATGTTACTATTTCGCCAGATTTTAGAGCTAATTGCTTCACCATTAGTAATTATTCTAAGCCTTTTCAAAGAACTTAAATCTCATTAGTTTCTTTATATTTTAACTATCCTAAGCCCTCTGAACATCCTGCCATCCTTGTTAACATTCTAAACATATATTCTAAAGGCACCATTCTGAAAACAAACAACAATCTCTTTGAGTCACCAACTTGACAACAAGGACGAAATTTCAAGGAAGAGAAAAGTTCACACATGCTCTCCTGGGCCCCGGGACAGCTTCCTAGAGGAACTTACCCATTGCTCATTTCCTAGCAGTAGGAAATCAACCATACCTATCATTTCTTCAGACATTTATCTGTTTTTCTAAGAATCTTTCATCTTTGCACTACTTTAATACAGTAACTATCTGAAGGTACCTAAGCATCTCTTCAAATACTTTATTACTGAAAGAGAAATTGGGAATGAAAAATTCAGTTGCAAAGAGCATGAACTGTTAAGTCAAACTGCTGGGCTGAGGCCCTACCTCTGCCACCCACTACCTATGTGACCAAGGGTAAAGACCTCAACTTCTGTGTCTCAGTTTTCTCATCTCTAAAATGATCATGTGAAAGCCAGGTGTGGTGGCGCCCGCCTCTGTGAGATTGAAGCCAGCCTAGTTACACAGCACGTTCCAGATCAGCTGGAGCTACAGGGAGACTGTGATTCAAAAGATCATAATAATAAAAATAAAATAAAATAATCACGTGATAATGTTAGAATATTTATATAAAGTACTTAGAATATTACCAGGCACCCAGTAATATAGGATTTGCATATTTTTAAATCATAAACATATATACACACAATTATAGTAATAGCACAGAAATTAAAAACAGAATTTTTGAATCAGAAAAAAATGAACTGTAATCCACATTCTATCACTATGTATGTTATCGTCAGTATGTCTGTCTGTTAGCTGCTTTAAGCCTAGCTTCCCAACAGATAAATGAAGACAGCAATGCCATGTTACTAGGAATACTGTGGAATCAATGTTAAAATGCAAGTAGGTACTTCCATAGTAACAGACAAACAGTAAGTAACTAATGATTACAGGCATTTTTTTTTTGTACAGTAAAGTATTACAATCACACTATAATGATGCTTTGACCTGCTCAACATTGGGAGTATCTATGTCCAATGCAGGAATAGAAATAAAGTTTATAAAGTTTGTGGGTTTTGTTATACTAAAAACATCAGAATGAAACGTCCTTGGTAGGGCCTGGGTTCAGTATCTGGTAAGATATAAAAGCTCTAAGATCTCTGTATTATCTAAGGCTTCAGACTCAGATTGGGAAAAGGAACAAGAGTCTCGGAGATCAGGAGTCTACAGAAAGTTCAGTCCACAGAAATGCTCAGGAGTCCCCCAGAAAAATGTATAAACATGAACTAAAGTGTAAAGGTCTGCTAGAAGAGTTCATGTTGCCCTCAAAAGAGAGCAAAAGAAATTGCTTTAAAGTGTCTAAATAGGGGCTGGAGAAATGGCTCAGTGGTTAAGAGCACTGGCTGCTCTTGCAGAGGACCCAGGTTCAATTCCCAGCACCCACACAAGGCAGTTAACAACCATCTGTAACTCTAGTTCCAGGGGAATTGGATGCTCTCTTCTGACCCCAAACACACTGCATGACATGGGTGCACTTACAAACATGCAAGCAAAACATTCATACACATAAAATAAAAATAATAAATAAAATAGTGTCTAAATCAAAGGGATTCTCCATATTCCCCTTTAAAGGGAATTTCTGACTTAAACTCCAGCAGGTCCATGGCCCTCACAACTTCTCCTGTATCCTTTCCATGTATCACACACCATTTCCATGGATGGCATTAGACACTGCTTCTAAGGGAAAAACCGCCTGATTCCCAACCCTGGAGATAGTAATATCAAAAAAGGAAGAGTCAAAACAATGTTAAACTTGGAAAACAAAAAGTAGGGTAGAAAGCAAAGTGAATACAATAGGAAAGATCTTTGAACAACTCAACTGAAACTGAGGGACACAGGCTGGTCTGTCTAAAGCAGCAGTGGGAATGGACTCTCGAAAGGTGCTAGATAGGAAAGGAAGAAGAATTACAGGCTAATCTCAAATAAGTTTTAATCTATATACAGAATTTATATAAAAAGTAAGCATTATGTATGGCTTTATACCAGGAAATCACTCAACTGATAATCAAGTTTATATAACAAATATCATTCTGTTAAATGAACTAGGGAAAATACTTACCTCCCTCTTTTTAGCTTCATTTGTGCTATACTTTGGAAAGAGGTAGGAAAAGATATTTCCACAGCAACAGGCAACATGTACCAGGGGGCCTTCTTTTCCTAAACTCAAACCTGATGCCACAGCCAGTACTAATGTGATGGTTTTGATCATTAAGGTCCATTTTCCCAAGTAACCTCTGATGATGAATCCACTCAAAATAGTTTTAATCTACAAAGCAAAGATTAAGGCAGCTTAGTTTCCTCTAAGAAACATAAGAACTTAACTTACCTAAAATATTCTCTTATTTTACTTGCCAAACTACCTAGCAAATTTGGTAAACTACAGAACAACCTACAATTAAAAAATTTATTATGGCAGATGCATTAAATGTATATTATACAATTCTCTACCCAACCAAAGATAAAAGGCAACCCTATCTCATGAACAAGTAAAAATAACAGATCATGTTAAAGTAAATGCAGGGTCATAATTATATAACCAAGAAAAGGCAAATTTGGGAATTTCTGTTGTAGGAATAAACACAGCGCATATATATATATGTATATATATATATATGCTGTGTGTATACACACACATACGCACACATGCACACACACATATATACACACACATTTCAGACAGTCTGTCAAATAAAAATATTATTTCTCAATGTAGCATAATTATGTGGAATGTTTTTACATATACCAAGAAGGACAAATGACAATCGATGACAACTGCAGGATATAAATTGATTCCTTATTAAAGATATCTTTACTTACTATAAGCTTTAAAAAAGGTATGGCCACTTATTTTAAAATTAGTTAGGAAAAAGCTGATAAAGGAAAATAAAACAGAACAAAATGAGTTTAAGTCTGTTATTCTCTTTTAAGTTACTACTGGTGAGAAATAAAAACAAACATCTGTACTATTGATGTGCTGTGATCAAAAGTTTTTTCAAAGTATAAAATGGTCAAATTTATGAATCTGAAACTTATTTAATCTAATCAACAGTTTTAGAAAGAGAATGAGCATATTAAAATCAGGGTCATAATAACAAAACATGAATTAATCCATTAAAGAACTTTAGGTCACAAAATATTTTTGAAGTTCTTGATGTCTGAACAGGCTTTCTAACGATCTGCTTACTCATGTGCTCTATTAGTGGTGGAAGGGGTGGGGGATAATCAACTTTCACATGATAGGCGTGTCTAATCTGTGCCCACAGGCCACATGTATCCCAGGATAGCTATGAATGTGGCCCACATGTTTGTAGATGACAATATCATATTATAATGCCAAAAGGATGGACATGCCTGTGAATCTGTTAACAAATGAGTCTATAACAAATGATGGAATCATTATAGAGAAAACTTTTTTTAGTGATGTCTATAAACAGTTTATATTTAAATTTTCTTTTGCATATTACAAAAATGTAATTTTCTAAAACAGTACATTTTCCCCCTAAAGATAAAAAACATCACAGCAATTACCATTCGAGGTACTAATATTATATAGCTTACCTCTGGAATTCCAGAGCCACAGGCATATGGAGCAAAAACCTTTACCAAGGACACTGCAAGAAAGGCAAAACTCAAGGCCCAGAAGATGTACATTATGTAGTTCATGATGTAAGAACCTGGACCCTAAAAAGCAAAAACAGCTCAGAGTCTGGATATGATTTACAGTATACCACCAATGCACGTCCTTGCCACAGATGAAATATTTGGAAAATTTATTATTGGTGTTATTAGTATTTTTGGATTTTGAATTCAGCTATGTTGTCTAGGCTGGGCTCAAACTCCTGTGGTCAAGCAAACCTTCTGCCTCAGCTTCCCCAGTTGCTTGGACAACAGGCACATGCTACCATGTACAAGTATGTAAAAGATCTAAAAGTCTCTTTGTCTTTCTATTCTATTTTTCTAGCGTATTTCCACAATAATAACTTTTATGTAAACAAAATATTTAAGCAGAATTTTTTAAATTAATTACTATACATACCAAGGCACCTCCTCCCATTTGGTCACTTTCCTGATCTCTAAGGTCTCGTTAATATGCTGAATTATGCCTACCCACAAACTTCTTGGAAATCATTGGTAGAGGTAAATTTGGATCAGTACTCAGATTTCATTCTGTCCCAATTCTCCAGGTAAGAAACAACAAAAGGAACACCACGCCAGTAAACATTCTTTTTGTCTTAAAGTTTGGCTATAACAAAACACTTTTAAATATATCCATGTGAATATATAAAATATTTCCTAAGTTCAAGAAGGTTTATTACAAAACATCGTTGTAATAATATAATTAAATGCTGCACTGCCACATGGAAGAAATTCTATGAATTTCCCTAAGGTATTTCCACCAAGAAGAGCTGATTTTATAACAAAAACATTTTACACTTCCATAATTCATATTTTCCAATCTAGTCAAAAAATTGCTGTTAAGCCATTTTAACAAGCTCATATCAAGTTCACACAGTTCCTAAAGCCATAATGAGTACTTCCCTACCACAACTCATGATAAATAAATCCATACCATAACCCATGCACCTTGTATATGATTATGCATTAAATAATACAAAAGTTGTTTCAAACAATCCTCATTTTTTTCTTGCTGTATTTATGTATTTTCCTTTCTTCTCTACTACAGATTTTGTCTTTTTTTGTCTTTAGTGCAGGTTATAATCACCTACTATGTGCTTCTATAAATGAACTGGACATTTTTCACTATAGCAATGACTAGCTCATTTTGAGCAAAGACTTACCTCTGCTTGACCTATGATTAACTCTGCCCATGTTTTCCACTGCGGACATTTATCTCTCTCTTCAAATGTTGCTTCATTAGACCCCCAACAACACTGTTCATGGTTATACCACAATGCACTGAGGCAAATGCCCTCCTTTAAGTCAGTCATCCAGTCAGCAGCAATGTCTATTAATCCAGCCAGTGCCCCTGTAAGAACACATTGGAAATGGTCCAAAAAATAAGTCCATTTGAAGGTCTTGGGACTATCTAGAGTTCAGAGATTAATGGAAAGCAAGACACTTTGGTGGCTCCAAGAGTTCTGTGGTTCTTGGCAAGAGTGCTGTTTAACAAAGTTCCAGCCGAAAGCCGATGGCCGCTGCTCTTTTGGTGGAAATCCCTTCCCCAGTTACTCCTGGTTTTTGTAATTTGTATAACCTCTTCTTTAAGTACTTTGATAACCAATTCTGATGATGGAATGGGAAACTAAACCGGGGAAATCTCTGCCTTTAGCAGAATTATTATGTTACTGAAACAATAAGAAAGAAAATATTTTAAAGGAAATTCTGAATTCATAGTGGGAAAGCCTAGTGACACATATGATGATCGCATTATAAGGGAAAAACGGCTGAAGTAATGAGAGATCCGGAAAAAGCAAATACAGACTATAAATCAGAGTACAGGATTGCAGCACAGATTAACTTTGTGATTAATAAAAAGGCTTGGTTTCCCCCAAAAGGAAAAGATAGCATGCAATCTCTAGATGCCCTGCTGCCTTTTACAGGAGTTTATGATTTTAACCCTGAACGAGGAACTATTGAGACTAAAGTTTGGTATAAAGAAAAACTACTTGGCTTAGGGAAATTCCCTCTTGGATAAAAAGATTAGCTAGGTCAGTAAAAAGCTGGTGGTGCATGACCTATGAAGAAAAATTGCCTATTCTTTTACAAAAACTAAAAGCGATTCAGAAAAGCCCTTAAAGATAAATGGCAACAAAATAATAAAGGATATTGAAATAGAGAAAATGATCATATGACTCAAAGAATACAAAACGTTCAGAGATAGCAAAAGGGAGAGGGAAAAAGGTAAATTGGAAAATTGGTTAGACAATAAATAAAAAGAGTTGGTTGTTCCCGTTCCCATGAGAAAAATAGTTTTCTCAAATATACATGCCAACTTGTAAATGTTAAATTCAAAAAATTAAAGGGCAAATGGGGACAGGCTGTCTTACACTTCTATGGTAAAATAGAAACCGCAAGGCTATAAAGAAAACAATAAAGACATTGCTTGGCTATGTTAAGAAAAGGTTAATCATTGATCTTTGTACTTTTTACTTCCCTTTTACTGTGATTATTGAAAAATATTGTACAATGAGAACTGTTGTGCAAACTCATGGTTTGATTCATGGTCTGATGCTTTACTGCTATTGTAAGCTTTCTAATTATAAATAAAGGTTGTAGAAGGCTGCTTGGAGAGAAAAACAAAAAAAGAAAGAAGATATTCAGGCTGACCTCTCCCAAGCAGGTCAGTCAACAGGCTCTACTAGAACTGCAACTGTGGTTTCTGGTATAGTCATTTTTGCTGCCGCTGTTACCTTCACCCCTTCAGGCCCTGGACTCAGCAGGACTCGGCAAAACTTCTTATAAATAAAGGGTAAATTAGGGACTATTTTGGTGTTTTTGAGACAGGGTCTCCTTGTAGCCCCAAGGTGTCCTGGAATTCACTATGTAGACCAGGCTGGCCTTGAACTCACAGAGATCCACCTGCCTCTGCCTCCCAAGTGCTGGGATTAAAGATGTGTACCACCATGCCCGGCAAGATTTTTAAATTTTAAATACATGTATATTAGTTTTTTGGTGGGAGGGAAGGGTTGTTTGTTTGAAACAGGGTCTCCCTGAAGACCCAGCTGGCCTAGAACTCACTATATAAACCAGGCTGGCCTCAATCTCACAGAGGTCTATCTGTCTGTCTGCCTCCTGAGTACTGGGATTAAAGACATGTGCCACCAAGCCCAGCCTGCATATTAGTTTCGAAATCTTTAGATGGCTATATTTTAAAATAAAATTTCTATGCTTTATTTGGAATTAAAACTAGTCACATCATTCAAATTAACTGAAATTTTAAAACAGAAAAAAAAAAGCATTTAAAAGACATTAAAATACCTTCAAAAGACAGCTTCTACCAGAAGCCTTACCAATCTGGCTACTGAAGTCAGAAATTTTAAGACATAGATCTCACAGATCTCAAATCTAACCATCATTAGTTATAATTAATGATGTTTATATCATTCATGACAAAAAGCTACACACATGAAGATTCTCTTACTGATAGAATATCAAACATATATAAACTTATGAGCAAGTATGGGTTATTCTCACAATAGGTTACACTCAGAGGCCACAAAATTCTTATGCATGCCAATTAGTTATCAATACTTCTCTATTCTAGAAAAAAAATTATCTTAGTTTTTCATGCTTTCTGAGCATATCTTATATGATGGAAGCTGAAAGTGATTAAAAACTACTTTTTAATATTTGTTTTTAGTTCATCAACTGCTATTTCTTGAATCTCCTCTCTAAGGACTTTGTGGATACACTGTATAGTGCAGTGTTAACAGAACAGTCCATCTCCTGAGCCACTTATGGCTGGCTATATGGCTTCAGCCAAGTCACTTGACACACCTACTGTGCTTCAATCCCCTCATCTGTAAAACACTTATGTTGACAGCATTAATGATGGACAACTGCCATGAGGGTTAAACACATGTAAAGCTGTGAGATTACTGCATGACAAATTGATTAAAATATTTAATAACAATAAAGAATACTGTGTGACACCATTAACTATTAGTTATGTTACTAAAATAAAAGATACCTGACTTTCAGCCTGGCATGGTGGTGCATGCCTCTAATCCCAGCACTCAGGAGGCAGAGGCAGGCGAATCTCTGTGAGTTCAAGGCCAGCCTGGTCTACATAGTGAGTTCCAGGACAGCTGGGGCTAAGAGGGAGACCCTGTCTCAAAAAGACCAAAAAAAAAAAAAAGATACCTGACTTTCTAATCAAAAGCACTTATTTTACAGATATGTAAAGTGAGTCCAGAAAGATCACCTGAGTTGGATAGAGAAAGAACCAGAGCTAAGACCAGGTGCAGAAGCTTCCCATTCCTGGCCTTATATTTTGTAAGATTTTTCTCAAGAAGAGAAGCAAATGTTTTAAAATCTAATATATATAAAAATAAAACTGAGGAAAGAGGAGGAGGAGGAGGATTACTTACTTACTTAAACACTTAAGTTCCCTACCTGATGCCAGTCCTGTCAGTGTTACTACGAGCCATCCCGACCAGGCATCATACAAACTTTTTGTCATTTCCCATGCTGATTCTTTTTTTTTACTGTTGATCTGAAATTAGAAAAGTTTGTTTAATTTTTCAAATTCTAATTCTATAATTCTAGACTCTAACAAATTTTCTCAGTTACTATAATACAAATAGTCCTTTCTGAACAAAATAGTGGGAACGCAAATTTGGGGCAAAATCACTGTCAGTTACTGTACTTAATAAGCCAGATGACAAGGCAGAGATATAGACTTTAAATAATAACCTCCAGATTTGAGTGTCAGAGCCCCTAAGCCACATACAAGTCTGGCCTAAAGAGTTTCAAAATGAATAAAATTCAAGCTTTAACTGTCACACACAGGTAACTTACATATCAGCAGAAATCAGATAACACAGCTGGAAATGTCTGGTCCTAGTAGTTAAGTGGAATATAATAGACTTTAAAAGATCAGTAAGAGACACGAAAACATAACATAAACAGTCACATGGACAAAAAAGTTCAGTATAGAAAATTTAAGTATAGAGCGTCAATCCCATTATAAAAGCCAAAGGCCCTTCCATCACTATGTAAGACAGAAGAAAAATGTCCTCAATTGACTGTAAGGGTAGGCAGTTAGGAGATTAACAACAGGGAAATGGATATGATGCAAATCTCCCTTCACTAAGAACAAGTCAGGGCATGCCTCTCTACGTAAGAATGCATTTCTAAACCTACCCCCAGTCTAAACTTCTGTCCTACTTGTATTTCTGCTTTAAAAAACTCTACTACTGTCCATTTAGGACATCAATGTTCAACTCTCCTGTAAGAGAGCTGGAATTCAAAGACTTGAGCTATTCCAAGTAGATCTATTTGAAGTTGCAAGAGGCAATAAAAACAGTGACTTCTAAGTTGAATGAGGAAATTTTGTTCCTTTTATACTAAAAGAATCCAAATACAGATATTAACAACATTTAGGATTAGAAGTAGATCTTTTTTTTTGTCTTTTTGTCTTTTTAAGACAGGGTCTCTCTGTAGCCCCAGCTGTCCTGAAACTATGTAGACCAGGCTGGACTTGAACTCAAAGAGATCCACCTGCCTCTGCCTCCTGAGTGCTAGGATTAAAGATCATTTCTTTTGAAAATGGTCATTTGGGGCTAAAGAGATGGCTCAGCAGTAAAGAGCACTGAAGCCCACATAACCGCTAACAACTGTCTATAACTCTAGTCCCAGGGATCCAACACCCTCTTGTGGCTTCTGCAGGCACTACATGGCATGGGTGCCCTTATATGTAGACAAAACACTCATATACAGAAAATACACTTTTTGAGACAGGGTCTCCCTGTAGCCACAGCTGTCCTGGAACTCACTATGTAGACCAGGCTGGCCTTCAACTCACAGACATCCACCTGCCTCTGCCTCCCGAGTACTGGGATTAAAGGCGCTGGGGCACCACCACGCCCAGCAGAAAATAAACATTTTTAAAAATGGTAATTTTCAGGCAGAGTCACTGTTGCTCTTTTTGTTCCTCTGCTTGCGGACCACCACAGTCCCTTAACAGTGCTTGCTAGTATGTATTCAGTGTAAACAGATACACTGAGTGCTCATTCCTCACCACTCAACAAAAATCTGGAAATCATCTATATGTTTATCAACATACAGTACTGGTTAAATGAACTGTAATACATTTGTGCAATGAAGAATCCCACAGAAATTAAGAAGAAATGAGCTAATATAGTCTTATGAAGGACAAAAGCATGGTGGTTAGGAGTATGCTACTTAGTTGGGTGAGAACCTAAGTGCATATGCTGTTCTTTAAATGGAGGAATAAACCATAAAGTTTTTAAAATGTAAGTCGTTACTTACAAAAGGAGGAACACAATATGTTAGAAAGGGCAGAGACAGGAACTAGAATTTTAAAATGTATACCTACAATTACCTTTAGAAGCATGGTAATTTACATACCTAAAAATTAAGTCTATTCCTGGAAAATTAAGCAAATTAAAAGCCAAAATACATCTAATTGATAACAAGGACACAGCAACTACTTAAAGGAACTTTAAAATAAAATAATTTTTATGTATAAAGTTAGTGGGGTAGATGCTTAGGACAAAAAGTACCATAGAAAAAGCAAACAGTAACTTCTTTAGGGGGCTTATTGTTGATAATGGTTTTGGTACCATTTTACTGTGATGCAGTTGCAGTATATATATATGGTGCAGTAAATTATTGTGATTATGATGTTGAAATTTCTGACACAGTTTAAAGGAGATTTAAGAACTAGATATTAAGCCACATAGTAATGCATTTAAATTAGAAGACTGCTATATATTTGGGCAGCTAAAATGATAAACCAGAAGTAAACTGGCTCTTACGTGTGCAGAAACTGGCTCTATATTGCATCTTCCCTAGATTGATCAGAGCTGCTTGATTTATGGTTGACACTAAACTCATTGTCAGAAATGTGGAAGATGAACTAGCATCATCTTGTTTTCCCAGAATACATCAAGTTTAAGGTCAAGTTAGAGAGCACAGACAACTGTCTGGATACATTTCCATTCATATGGTAGTGTGCCTAAATTATTCTAAGATGATGGGCTTAAATAGTTGAAAAATATGGACTTCAGTGAAAAGAATAACTATGATGATTAAGACACAGCAAACATACATAATCCCATGAGTTCACAAAGACTTAGAAACAAACCCAAGGAAACAAAATCGTATTGTTCAACTTTAAGGAGTCTAAGGAACTACATTATTTCTAATCCTACACTGCAGTGTATACTTGAAGGAATCCAAATAGTTAATGAGAGGAAGGTTTTCTTTATTCAAGATAATAAATAATGAAGAACAAGATTATCGCCATTTTGTATATTGAAGCAATGATGCTTGAAATAATACAATGCCTGATTACTTTAAAATAATCTGGGATAGAAGGCCTAAAAAAAACTTATAACTGGAAATCTAGAGAGATGGCTCAGTGGTTAAGAGCACTGGCTGCTCTTGCAGAGGACACAAGTTCAGTTCCAAGCACCCAAACTGCAGCTAACAGCTGTCCTAACTCCAGCTTCAGGGGGTGTGATGCCCTCTTCTGACCTCTGCACAGGCATGACACGGGTACACTTACATACATGGAAGCAGTACATTCATACACATAAAAAAAGGAAAAATATTAAAAAAGGCTTATGACCAAGAATTAAGTACATATACACAGTATCATGGAAAGTGTATGCCTGTATGTGTATATATTCTAAGAAAAACAGTATGTGCAAATTTCCAGCTTTAAAAATTGTATGGTTATTAACATGGATTAAAAATGGAAAAAAAATCTGCCTAATCTAGAAAAAGATGATTGATGTGACTAGTTCAGACACATATTGGTTACTTCACATATTATTTGGAATGACTTCAAGAACTGTAGACTGTTTACATAATCAGAAGGGGAAAGGGCTTGTTTTGGTTTCTTTTGGTCTCCATTTTCCCTAAAGGTTTATGAACATGGAATCTTGGGGAAAATTACAGGATATCACACTTTAAAATACACTTAAACCCCAATGTGAATACTGCCAATGACTCTAAGTGTGCACTTCTAAGTACAACTCTACTTACCTAATAATCATATGAGACATAGGATTTTAATCTAGCCACTTCAGATTAAAATAGTTCTCGAAATCTGACCCACAGACATCCTAAAGAATCTATGAAATTCTGTTAAGGACTCTGCAAGATCAAACTATTTTTTAATAATACTAATGTTTTATGTATCCAGTTTCACTGTGATTTTTTTTTTCGTTGATGTGCTGATTTTCCTGGCCCCTCAGCATGAGCTAGGTAGTGAAATAGATAACGGTAGTCATCACATTCCTGATGCACATACCTCAGAAAATAAATGAATAAAGACCAGGTTCACCAAGAACATCTTTGATGATGCAAAAAAGGTTATTATTCATTATGAGTTATACTCTGTGATCAAATGAGAACCATACCTGAAGCTCCTGTCCTCCATACTGAACACGAGTTTACATCCTGTGGGAAACACTTTTTTTTTTTTTTTTTTTTGGGTCTTTTTGAGACAGGGTCTCCCTGTAGCCCCAGCTGTCCTGGAACTCACTATGTAGACCAGGCTGGCCTTCAACTCACAGAGATCCACCTGCCTCTGCCTCCTGAGTGCTGGGATTAAAGGCGTGTGCCACCACGCCCAGCTTGAAAACTCTTTTTTAATCCAAGTTGTAAAACAGATACTCACTAGATACTCATATGAGTTTGCATAGTGTGGAAAACACCTGCTTAATTTCAGTTGCAAAATTGATACTAGTCAGACACTTATTATATGAACCAACACTTTGTGTGTTCCATATACTCTATATGTGAATGTATGGGGGGGTTGGGGAGAGTGGTGTCTATGCATGCATTTGGAGGCTAAAGGAGGACTTTTGGTGATTTCCTCTATTGCTCTTAATCCTTTGAGAAAGGATCTCTCACTAAACCTGAAGCTTGCTGTTTTGGCTAAGCTGGATGCAAGGGAGCTCTCAGGATCCTACCTCCACCCCCCAATGCTGGGGGTACAGAGATGTGAGATAAAGCCTAGCTTTTTTATGTGGGTGTTTGGGATTCAAACACGGGCCCTCATTCTTACACAGCAAGTACTCTTATCAAATGAGTCATCTCCCCAGTCTCCTAATACTTATATTTGAAAGAAACAGGGACATCAAATTACAGGCTTTTGGACTTGGAAATTTGATGGATATCTTCTCAATAATGAACCAAGTAGCCCTGCCATTTTAAGTAAAATAAATGTGTTTTTGTTTCCAATGATAAATTATCAACTTTCAAGCAAACAGAATTTTGGAAGACTAGTATCTATCAATGTAAGGTCAACATGATCACCCCTGTTATTACAAGTTACTTTGTAAGCTAATTAAAAAATTAAAAATATTTTAAAATCAGTGGTAATCAGACTGGTACTATTTGGGGAGGGAGTCCTTTTTGAGAAAAGGTCTCCCTGTGGCCCCAGATGGCCTAGAACTTGCTATGTAGATGAGGCTGCCCTCAATCTCACAGAGATCCACCTGCCTCTGCCTCCTCAATGCTGGAATTAAAGGTGTGTGTTACCAGGCCCAGCACTTGATACTATATTTTTATACTATCTAATGAAAAAGGTCAACAAGCATTAGATTAAAAAATGATTCTGAAAAAATAAAAATCCAGACACCCTAGAAGGTCCATAAAAGCCTCTTAAATACTCTGCAAGACTATTTTATTTTTATAATGATTTTATGAGCCCTATTAATTCCCAGAAGTTAAAAAAAAAAAAAGTATCAACATTTGAGAGACTCATATAAATCAGTGGACCAGTATTTTTTAATATGATCATTTCATAATGTTACAAAAGCATTATCGTCAAAGTTCAAGGTGAATCAATGGATGTTAATGTAATGGATGATAACTTTCATTAAGACAGTTTCAGAATATCTGGGCAAGGTGGTGCAAGCCTATAGTTCCAGCACTCAGGAGACAGATGCAGGCAGATATATCTGTCAGTTTAAAGCCAGCCTGGTCTACATAAGTTTCAGGTCAGCCTGGGCTATACCGTGAGATCCTGTTTCAAAAACAAACAAGAAAGAGGACAGTTTCAGAGCACACATCATAAACAATCTTTTAGAAAATACTATTTATTATTTTATTGTATCAAAAAACAGCCACAATAATCTAAAAAGACTATTTAAATAGTTATAGCTTTTCCAACTACATTTGTATAAGGTTGTATTTTCTTTATATGCGCTAAGAAGAAAAATGTAACATTAGAATGCAAAAGCATATATGGAAATCTAAGTCTTTTATTAAGTTAACAAACCATGATAGTTATTTTTTTAAATATTTTATTTATTAGTTTTATTTTATGTGTATGAGTGTATTGCCTGAATGTATGTGAGTGCACCCGTGTCATGCAATGCCTCAGAGGTCAGAAGAGGGCTTTGGATTCCCCTGGAACTGGAGTTAAGGACGGTTTGTAGCTGCCTGTGGGTGCTAGTAATCGAACCCAGGTCCTCTGCAAGAGCAATCAGTGCTCTTAACCGCTGAGCCATCTCACCAGCCCCATGATAGTTACTTTAAAAAAAAAAAAAAAAATCAAGCTCTCTGTAAACACTTTTTATTTTGGAAGATGTAGTTACTTTTATACAACATTAGTCATGTTTATACACAATGGGTTTTGTAACTATAATTTTTTTGTTCTGTTGTTGTTGTTTTATTGAGAGAGGGTCTCCCTGTAGCCCAAGCTGACCTGGAACTATGTAGACCAGGCTGGCCTTGAACTCACAGAGATCCGCCCTGACTCTGCCTCCAGATTTTAAATGTTCTCAGTTTTAGCACTTAATAGAGAAATATTAATTCACATAAACAAATGTTCAGTCGTTTTAAAGGTTAAAGAAAAATGTTCAGAATCACTAGAGCAGTGATTTACTGTGCCTTTTCTCAGCTGTGCCCTCAGGCCAATAGCACGTGACAGCTCTCAGAAGCTGTTCTCACATCCCAGTATTCTACCTCCAAGCTCAGGTTTCACACAAGTACATACATTAATATAAAAATGTGTGACTAATTTGTATAAAATTATTTTTAAAGTAAATCTCAGATACCAAAAAATAGAAGTGCTGGAAGTCAAGAATTTCTATTTCAAAACATTTTTCTTTCTTTTTTTGAAAAAGCATATTCTAGATTATACTAGTAAGTCAAACTATCAAGGGAAAAGATTCATTCTGTACTGTTGGGTTTTGTTATCAAAGAGGGTCTTTCTATTTAGCCCAGACTGATCTCCTGATCACCGGGATGATAGGCATGACTACCATGCCTCGTTTTCTTTTCTTTTCTTTTTTCTTTTCCTCCTCTCCTGCCCTACCCTCCCTCCCTCCCTCCTTCCCTCCTTTCTTTCTTTATGTCTTTCTACCAGTGGCTTATTATGACACACAAAAAGCTTTATTTGGGATGCAACTTGAAAAATATCGCAGGATTTAGTACTACAAAGGGGAATTTTAAAAAATATTTTATTTATTATCTTATTTCATGTGTATGAATGCACTGCCTGGATGTATATAAGTGCACCGTGTTGTGCAATGCCCATAGAGGTCAGAAGAGTGCATCAGATGCCCTGGAACTAGAGTTAACAGATGGTTGTTAACCACCATGTCAGTGCAGGAAATTGAACCCAGGTCCCCAGTGCTCTTAACCACTGACCTATCTCTCCAGTCCCCTACAAAAGGGAATTTTTAAAAACAGCAAAATTCTACAAAATGATTTTTTTTCTCAGTACCTTATCTTCCTTTTTCATAAGAGTTATGCAACAAACTTTGCTTTAGCTGCTGAGCTGCCAAAAGCAAAAAATCATGCTGACCTCATTAAAGCTGGAATGTCTTCACCCAACTCCTATACTGGGCTTTCCCCTTTCCTTCTTGTTTTGTCTTCTAACTGTATTTCTTTGTTTTTAAGTTACCTCAAATAGTACAAATACTATCCAGAAAACCATATGGTACAAATAAACTAAGAAGAAGAGGACAAAGAATGTATCAATTATGACAAGCAGAAATTTATTTTAATGTGTAAAATACTGGATGGCCTGACACCACTGGCAGAAATATATTTGTAAGTGATCCATTTCGCACTATACTTTTAAAAGGGTGCAAACACTTACCCGCCTATGCCTTTCTCTATCTTTACACTTCTCTCGCACCCAGTCGATGGTGTGGAAATCATCATATGTCCCAACACCTGGGATTGGTTCATCCAAAAGATCCAGTAAGTGTGTAGAGCTATTAATGCTGCCCCCATTTGTCATTGTATAATGAGTTCCTGTGAGCAGAAAAGAAAAGGGAGTAGATTTTATAAAAGGCAACAGTGAGTTTTGTAACTTTCTTATAAGTTACAAATAATATAACAAAATCATTTCAAAGTAGAGGAAATGAAAACTCTCTAAAATGAGGAATAAGGTGAAAAGAATATTCATGACCTTACAAATTTATATTACTAACAAAGCAGCCTAATAGTTGCTTGATACTATCAAAATAATTTCTTAAAAATATTTTATTATTTTTATCTTATGTGTATGAGTTTTGTCAGCATTATTGAAGTGCACCCATGTGGTGCAGTGTCTACAGAGGCCAGAAGAGGGCATCAGAATCCCTGCAACTGAAGTTGCGGACGGTTGTTAGCTGCTCTATGGGTGCTGGGAATTGAACTGAGGTCCTCTGGAAGAACAACAAGTGTTCTAAACTGCTGACCCATCTCTCCAGGCCCCCAAAAGAATTTTTTTGTGAATTACCATTTACTGCTGACAAAGTGATATGCTCCATAAAGTTAGAAAACTACTTGTAGAAGATTAAAGAATTGAAAACAATTTTCATCTGGTAAAATGCAAACGGATTCTGTCCAGTAGGAAAAATGAGTCTTAGAATTGTGAGTTTTTCTTGTTATTGCTTGTTTGTTGCTTTATGGCTTATAAGAATTTTCTTTCACAGACTGTGCATCTCAGTCTCACACATTCTCCTCTGAATCAGTTTTGTCACTATGCTGGTTCCCTTATTAGAGCTGAATAAATCATGTTTTTCACATATATTACATGAGTAAACAGACCTAAAGAAGGTTCTAAGATGTTAAAAGACAATTCAAGAAAAAGAAATATAACTACAAAAACAAGTTCAATCTAACACACAAAATGAAAGCAAATTAAACACATCACTTTTCTCTATGAGACTGGAAAGACTTTTCAAAGCCTATGTGAATGCACTGAGTTGTCAAAGTTAAAAAAGGAGGCCTTGGGGCTGGAGAAATGGCTCAGTGGTTAAGACCAGGCTGTTCAGTGGTTAAGAGCAGGCTGTTCTTGCAGAGAACCCAGGTTCAATACCCAGCACCCACATGGCAGGTAGTAAACATCTATAATTCCAGTTCCAGGGGAATCCAGTACCCTCTTCTGACCTCCATGGGCATTGCAGGATATGGGTGCACCTACTTACATTCAGGCAATATACTCATACACATAAAATAAAAAGTACTTTAAAAAAAAAAAAAAAGAGGCCACATCACAAAATTAGTAAGAATTATAAATGAGCATAAGTCCTTTGGGAAGGCAAAAGTTGCCAAATTCAACATTTATAAATAATCTCCATCCCAGCAAATTCACTACTAGGAATTTTTCTTTAACCTATATTTGTACTTAGATAACTCAATAAATTATGCATAGTATGGGAAGAACATTATATATATGCCAAATATAAGCAAATGCCAAAGTGTTTATAATCTGATAAAGGGTCAGACAACAGCTTGAGGGCAAAGAAATGAGATGTGGAGGCCAGAGTCACAACTAGTCAATTCTGCTGTGATAGCACAACAGAAAGCACAGAACTTTGTCACTGGATGGCTATAAATGTTCTAATAAAATTTTATTTTAAAAAACAAGTGAAGGGCAAGATTTGCCACATAGGCCACATTTTGCTAACCCCTAATCTAAAATTTATTCAACACACAGACCCTGTGCCCAAAATGAATAAAAAATGAGTCCTATTTATTTCCCCCTGACTTTTAAGGAACTGAGCAAACTCCCTAGATAACTTTTGCAGTCTTTCTGATTTAAACAGACCTGTTCCCTTTTACGTAGAGATAAAGAAACAATCATAAACTATCACCTAAAAAACTATCAGGTAATAAAGTCAGAAGCTGAACTTTTCCCCAGTCACTAAGTAAAACATCACTTAGCAAGAGATCATCCTACATAAAAAGGGAGTGGATGAAGGATGAAAGTAGAGTTTCAATGCTAATCTAAGAACTCTGGTATTGTTAAGATGGAATCCAAGTGAAATGAACTGTAGGTTGAAAACTGTTTCTTAATAATTCAAATACCCTAGAAACAAGACATGAAAAAGAAAATATTATACTATAAAGTTAAACCTCAATTTTTTTATTTCCTAACAGGATTCTCTCATCTCCCTACTGAATACATTTGAATGTTTGCCTTGGGAAAGTGTAACACTTCTAAAAAGAGAATAGTATATTGATTACAATGTTCTGGCAGCAGAACTCCAGGAATAAATAATTTACTATTCTTGGCTGAGAATTTAAAGACCTAATCCTTGCATTGCAATATTCACATTCATTTACATGAAATGCACACTCAATTCCTATACTTAAAGCTTCAAATTCTTCTTATCTCTCATTTCATCCAATAATTTCCACTATGTAAAAGGTAATTTAAAGTTTATGCATTTTTGTAAGAAAAAGCAATTGAAGAATACACTAGAAACCTTACAATATCTTTACAAATCTAAGAATCTCTGACTGCTTTCTACATAATATTAGAACTGGAAAGTGAAAAGTATTTCTGGAGGAGTCAAGAGCCCCTTGTGTCTTTCTGGTATAATATGCAGTAATTTCTGTGGTAGTTTGGGCAAAAGAGAAAAAGGTCAATTTTACGCCAGGTATGGTGGTGCACGTCTTTAATCCCAGCACTTGGGAGGCAGAGCCAGGTGGATCTTTGTGAGTTCAAGGCCAGCCTGGTCTACACAGTGAGTTCCAGGCCAGCTGGGGCTACAGGGAGACCTTGTCTCAAAAAAACAAAAAAACAAAAAAAAGAAAAAGTCAATCTTACAAGAAAAAAACCAAATACACCAAAGTTAAAGGAAATGCTGCAAAATAATAGGCATGTATTTGTTTGTATTCTTCAAAAATGTTAAAATTATAAAAGATAAAGAAAGATCAAGGAAATGTCCTAGATTAAAGACTAAAAGAAACATGGCAACTAGCTCTAAGGTGTGCTCTAGGATTGAATCCTGGTCCAGGAAACCATGTCTTTTTTTCATACCAAAAGGCATAGCAGGGCCACTGGCCTATTAGAACAAATCAAATAATAGTACTATACCAATGTCAATTTTCTGATTTTAAAAACTGTAATTTAACTATTCACAATTCCTTATTTAGAAAAAACATGTAGTATCTCTGAATTTTATCCTTAACATAATTCAAAAAAATGAAGTATATTCATATATGCATTATATCTATAGAAAATGTTACATGTTATATATTTAACTTGGCATATTTAATACCAAGGGGAAGAACAAAAGACAGAATGAACTAATACAGTAAAATGCTAATATTTCAGGAATTGGGATGAAAACATGCAGGATTCTTTGTATTAATTTTCATTTCTGTAAGTCTGTAAATTCTTTTTTCTTCCTCAATGCATGCTAAGTCTACCATTATGCAATATCCCCAGCCCTGAAAGTATTTTTAGGAGCTACTATGGGGCTGAGGAGAAGGCTCAGTTAGTAAAGTGCCTGTTATGTACACCTAAGGACGTATCTTAGAACCCAGATAAAAATCCAGGTGCACTAGTGGAACACAGATGCAGCTCTCCTGGTGGGGAGGTGGAGACAGGAAGATCCCTGCAGTTTGCTGGCTAACCATTCTAGGCATTCAGCAAAACTCCAGGTTCAGGGAGATAATTTATCTAAAAAAACTAAAATGGCTGGACTAGAGAGATGGTTAAGATACATACATACATAAATCTTATTAAACATACTCAGACTATGAAGTAAACCCAGTTCATTTTAACAGTTAAATCATCATGAGGGTAGGAAATAGCCCCAGCTACCTGGATCCCAAGATCTTAACTACATGAAAGTATGATCTGAAAGTTTGCTAGCACTCAAATTTAAGGGGGGAAAAAAAAAACCACTTCTCTGGAAGTTTGACCACTGAATACCAACAAGTGCCACTCTATGATCTAATTATATTACCTACTAGCCAAAATACAGAACAAAAATGCCTGAGGAAAAAAACATAAATTTTCCTTCAGAGTGGCCTAGAAAATAAATCCCATGACCTTAATACACTTTGAGGTCAGAAAGATCCAGAGTCAAGTTCCAGCTTTGCCATTATTTGCTCTGTGATCCTGCACAAGTTACATATTAACCTCTCAGACCATAAATTCCTTTTGTCAGCCATCTTGCAGGATAGAGTATAGACTACAAACATATTAAAACACAAAAATTTAATATTGACAGATAAGGATATTAACAAGCTTTAATTTCTGCTCAAATATTTTGGTGTTTAAAATTTCATCAAGTTGCATTACATTACTCATATGATACTGATCTTAATCAAAAAAATAGACAATGTGATAAAGAGAAAGGTGGGGGAGAGGGAAATATCTGATATACTTAGGTAAGGAATTCTTCAACCATATAGTAAGGAAAAAGACTGGCAATCGTTAACTAACAATTATGCTAGTATAGACACAAAAACAAATCCCTATACTGCATGATCAATAACTATGTTTCACATAATTTGTGCAAATTTCGCAGATCAAGTATTAGCCACATTGAAAACTTCAGCATATAAAAAATTATAGTATTAATAAACTATAACTGGCTTGCAAGCTGCTTTCTCAAAAAACTGTACTAAAAAGACTTTTAAGTCTTATTTTGTTTTTCCAAGGCCAAAGTTCCAAAGAGCTTTATAAAATTCAAAGACACCTATGTAAATTCAAATGCATTATTTACTACTATCTGTAATTTAAGCAATTATCTATAAAAAATTAATTTAACTGTTCATCAAAAGATCTATTTCTGGTAGGGAAAGAATCATCTCTTCAACAAATGATGCTGGGGATGGCTATCCATATGCAAAAGAATAAAACTGGCCGGGCATGTTAGCACACGCCTTTAATCCCAGCATTCGGGAGGCAAAGGCAGGCAGATGTCTGTGAGTTCAAGGCCACCCTGGTCTACATAGTAAATTCCAGGACAGCTGGGGCTACAGGGAGACCCTGTCTCAAAAAGACAAAAAAAAAAAAAAGAATA